TTCTGGGAACTAGTTACATTGATTTATTCTGTATAATCATGTTTGCTATCTAAACCATCACAACCTTATCATAATTATAATCTATCCGTACTGGTCAAAATCGCAGATAAAAACCTCTCCTCATCGGGGTTCTTTGTAACTATGGTACATATATTTTATATTTTTCTAACAATGTTCAAAAATATTTGAAATATGTACATTGATCTGTCCAATAAATCATTTATTAGGTCGCAAAGTACTGTTCGCTTATTTGCACGTAAAGCTCGTTCTTGCGGTTCTCAGTTTCGTATGATGCAATATTGTGCGCAAATGTCTGCATCGATTGGTGGTCCTACCTCAATGGCTCTTATCTTGCGCACACGCCTTTCTGTGTACGTCGCGTTGCTCGTTGTTGTGATGAATGCAAAAACATAAATAAAAGTCGAACGCTTCTGTTTTGGTTACTTGTCCTCTGTACATTTTAGCGCTTTATAAACACTCGTTCACCGTTGTTGTTGTTGCAGTGGTTTTGGATGCTTGCACTTTTGGGTTGCATTTCTTCTTGCATATTCATACTTGCATTTGTGTGTATGTGTGCGTGTTGTCGTAGGCATGCGCGTATTTGTAGAACTCGTCGCAACGAAGCCCTTACACACACACATACATGTGGTAGACCCTTCGGTGTTTTGCCACTGAATGTGTTTATCCTTTCATCCTTTTTGTGCTTTTCATGCGGTAATGTGATGCTTGATTGGTACTCCAGTTTCGACACTTCGTTTGCTTGTTAATTTTGCATTAGGTCAGTTTCTTTGCTTTCCGGTCTAAAACTTGTGGAACGCGAGTAGGCAAGGGTAAATTGTGTATCGGTCACATCATATTGTTTTGCTATGGTTTCCTAATTTTTATACTCTGAGCAGGGTATATTAAGTTTGCCACGGAGTTTGTAACACCCAAAAGGAAAGGTCGAACACCCTATAAAATATATCTTGTATATAAACGATCAGCCTACATATATGTGAACCAGTCCCTCAGTTTTTGCGATATCGATCTAAAATTTTGCACACTTTCTTTGCTCTCTTTAAAAAGCTGCTCATTTGTCGGAACCGCCGATATCGGCCCACTATAGCATATAGCTGTCATACAAACTGAACAATCAAAATCAAGGCGTTGTATGGAAATTTTTTAATGACGAGATATCGTCACGAAATTTGACATGGACTAGGCTGTCTTAGGCAACAGTACAGTCTTCGAAAAAATTGTTCATATAGGACCACTATAGCTCACATACATTCTGACCGACCAAAATCAAAATCAAGTTCTTATTTTTATGTGTGATGGGTATTATATCTTCGGTGCAACCGCATTTAACGTTTTTTCTTGTTAACAAATAATCTCCGTCGAGAATTGCTTAGGGTTTCGTTTTCCAAAATGACACAGCTCTGTTTGAGTATAAAGTTATCCTGCTGCTTAGATCCGGCTAAATCCGGCGGAGGGTACTTAGTGACTTGTTGCTGCAGTTTATTAACTTTGGAAAATTTCACCGAATTAAAATTACGCGATCTTGTTATTCAGTCCACGATTTTTCTTGCAAAATTTAAATTTAACTTTACCAGGTTTCATTCTCCGCGTTTGTTATGAGGCATGTTCAGCTGGTCTACTAATACCACATATATTCTACGCAATTACAGAATATTTAAACAAATAATTGATCATCACAGACTAACCACTCAACAGTAACTCTTTTTGGATGCATAGCTGTTTTAATAACTCTTAAATTGTCCCTTACCTTGCCTTGGAACGTTTGAGTATTGTATTGAATTTCCCTTTGCTATACTCTAGAAGCCGTCTTTATTTCACTTGGTGACACTAGATTTATTTTATTGATTTTATCATATTTTCCTTCGTCCGAAATTGCGCATAGTTTGTAAATTTTTGAACAACGCGCCGTTATTCCGAAACCTTATCATGGTGTTCTCAACACTGAACAAATATGGAAATGTTTAGTCTCTAGCTATCTCTCATTCAAACACATGCGATAATAAGCAAAATTAAAAGATAATATTGATACAAATAGTTCAAGTCTACCCTGTCTTCGTCTTCAAAACGGCAACATTGAGAATTATATGTGATTATAAATTTTATCGAAAATTCGTAGAGCTTTGCCAACAGTGAAGTTGAATATATAAATTTTTTCCCGCATTTCTTTGACGCGAAGCATGATGCATTGTCCCGATTGTAAGCTCACGTAACACCTTTATTTCTTTCTCATGCCCAAAAATTCAGGAATAATATCTTTAAACGCTTTAGAATCTCTCTAAACTTAATTTTAAGGCTATCCAGCAGTGTTTTGTGAATTGTTAAGGGGGTTTCGTGCGTAACAGCCTTTTTTGAAGTCTACTGCGTACTACTAGTTGAAATCTCATATCTCAATAAAACTCTCGACTAATCTGAACCAAATTAGGCGCAACATCATCTTGGTATTCTCTTGTAGTTTAAGAATGGTCGAAATTGGACTATAACTACGTCCAATATAATATAATATAAATTTCCATCAGATCATTTCATTTTACAATATATAAATCAAGCTCCAATAAAAATAAAGGAAAAAAAAACTTTGTAGAAATAGGGTTTGAAAATGTATCCGTCAATATGTGCGACCACTTCAAGAAATCGTCTTATACCGAGTATTTAATTCATATGCAACATTTTTAATATAACAGGTGTTTTTAGACGTGTTGTTTTCAATGAGGCAATGTTTTTTTCGGAGTTGGTCTTTTTGACAGCTGTTACTTGATTTATACTCAGTTTACGCCATCCATTCATCAAACGGGCCCTAAACGTGACGGCCACTGATACCGATTTCCACAAGAAAATTTTATTCAGCAATGAAGTTCACTTTCGGTTGTTGAGACGCTGTTACATCCTCAAAAAGTCACTATTTGGCCTGCTCAATGCAGAGGGAATCATTGGTCTATATTTCTTCAAAAATGAACCAAGGCCATAATGTTACAGTCAATGGCGAATGCTATAGGGTCATGATTTATGACTTTTTCATGACTGAATTGGTGGATGTTGATGTGGACGATATTTCTGGCCTCTAGCATGGCTTCCAAAATCGTGCGGCCGATTGTCTAAACGGCTCCAATTGCTGCAAAAAATGGTCGAAATTTTTCGTTTTATTTCTTCATGAAAACTAAATGTCTAAAAAACAACTCTTTACCTAAATATTTGCCAACACCTAAAATATTTCTCCGCCATTGATCCTTGCAAATTTCAAGAGCTTTAAGTGTTTTTATGGAAATTGTGTATTAAAATTTTCATCATAAAATATAGCTCCTTTTATTTTGCTTATACTTAGCTGTACATACATATGTATGTGTTCTTGCATTTCACTAGCGTCTCGATATCTATTCAGAAAATGAAATATTATCCTCAGCCGCTGCGGCAGACATGTGCACTTTCAGCTCCAGCTGTCCTCAATGTGTACTCGAACTTCCTTTTTTCTGAACATGCGAAACCTACTCTCATTTTGTTGTAGTGGTTTTTTTTTGTTTAATGCAGCTTACAAGTGCGTAGACAAAGCTGATTGCAGTGCGTGGTGAATTTATTGTTGTCTCGTCATAAACGCTTAACCCAGATATGCACAAGTGTATGCATTTCGCACACACATTCGCACGAAACTACACACATGCATACAAACGAACGTCGATGAAGGTGTTTGTCGGCAATTGCGTAAACAGCGAAGGGACGTTCTATCTTTCAACCCTTTTCTTGATTATTTTTTTTCGATAATCATAGCTTGTAAATACTTAAATATAATGCGGTGCAGAAAGAGTGTCATGCGTGTCGTAGGTTAGTGCCGTATTAAATTTCCTTTCACGTTCAACGCCACGAAGAAATTCAAGTTAAGTTGTTCATTGGTGTTTATTAACTTTCACACCTCCGAGTCCTTTTGTATTTCAACTTGTTTCTGGTAATTTGATAGTTTAATGACATTTCAATCGCTTTCGGTTGTCTTACTCGCACATAAGGGTGAGTCCAAATAATGAAGTATTATTCAACTTGCGTTAGGGTGGCATGTTTAGTTATAGATCCACTTAAAAGACATCCTAATTCAATATATAGTTTTGAATTTGTCGGCGACAGGAATGAATTATTAAGATGTTGGTTCGGCCTAATGTAATTTGCTATGCCAAAAATCCGTTTTTGTTTCCATTTTGAGGTTACATTTATCTCTTTCATTTGTGAGCTGAATGAACCAATAAAGACTAAGGTAGACATGGTTATATTGAGTGGCTACTAATTCTAGGTCGAAGCTGCCCAGCATTGAAAATTATTTTACCAGTTTCGATCCATGTCATATTGAGGTCGCTTTAATACTTTCTATCGGCTTGTTTTAAGTTCTTCGAATTCATTAAACGTTTTTTTTATCGATAAATATAAATCGATATGAAATAAGTCGCATAAAGTCGGGGTGGATTAGTTTGAATTACAATTTTAAATTCAAAATAACTGTAATTGCCTTGCCAGACTACCCCAATATAATAAATTACACGGATGTTAAATTAATTGCTATCATACAGTGAATAATTTTTGCAAATAACCAATTCTAAACTTATATAAAACTTTTAATTTTTACTCGTCATTTTCATGCATGTGGCAATGCTATACTGCAATACCGAAAAATGTATCAGTACACGTTTTGATTGCCTTTTCTATCTTAGCTATAATCAATCTGAAGCTGTACTTATTTCATTTTTCCCCTTCAATGTCCAATCTTGGCAACAAAAAAAAATTGCGGTCACGTTTGTGGTATTAATGGTTTGGAACAGAATCGTAAGGAAAGATGAATAATAAACAAAATTGAAATAACAAAAAACTAAAGTAATAAAACATAAAAACTTAAAACATAAAAAATTATAAATTAAAAAAAAAAAAAATAGAAGAGTAAATAAATGTAAATGTACATATGTATGTATCAAAATTTAATTTTTTAAACGTTTTTGTTTTTTCTTTTCCAGTTCCACAAGATCACGAAGACTACTATCGACTGGATCCCAGTAAATATAACATAGAAAATGCCTATGATATCTATAGAGCGCTGTGTTGCCGCAACACAAGCGATACAAAACTTCTATTTTTGCTTAATGGTCTGGCAACACTTTGCAAACAGCAACAGACGGAGGCACATAATCCAAAAAATTATTTAGGCTTTAACACAGAAGAGTTGCTCTATTGGTAAGTAAATTCCTATTATTTAGTTTTATTCTAAAAATCTGCGGCCTTCACCTAGCTCCTAACTAGTTAATTTCGCACATATTAGCACATTTGTAATATCAGGGTAGCTTTATTATATTTCTGTCTTCAGGTACTCCAATTAAAAATAAATTAATTCACAAGGTTAATGCATACTTAATCATCATTATTATTCCGTTATCATACACAATTTGCAAAATGACTTAGGAGAACCTCGCGTCGCTCGCTCGATCGATGGTTATGGTTTTCTAAGATTTAAGGTGTTTGCGCGCAAAGCACAGTTTTCTAAAAATGTATGGAAGGTTGTTTGGTTTGGAAAAAGTAAAACCAACCGCCTTTAACATATCCTATATATTGTAAACTAAAGAGATTAATTGCAACCCTTGACTGCGACATTTTTCTTTCCAGTCCTTATTGAATTATATTCTGAATTCAAAAATATAATATTAATCGATTAGAAACGACTATTTAAATTTTATCCTTTCCACATGATATCCAAGAGATCATGATCAGTTGAGATTCACACGTATAATATTAGATATATTATCTATACTATGGGAACTATCAGCAGAAGCTTTTATCATAATAAAAATAGATAAAACCAAATAAGGTTACTCCAAATGGTAAAAACACAAAGTAGGGATTCCTGAACTAGGACTATCAACATCACATAACGAGAAATAATTCAGATTAATATCGCGATAAGAACCATACTCAAAGCCAAATTCTCCAATATTACTTGATATATTTGATGCTTCGACAACAACAGGAATTTGAATCATAATAGGCTTACCAGATAGCTCCTTAGAGAATTATAATTTTATTATTTTTCTAAAGGGTCGTATCGAAAGGAATACAATATATTCAAGTGTTCCGTTTTCACGGATTTATAACTGACTGTCACATTTACTTCAATACTAGTAACAAAACAACATTGACTGTTTTTTCATAATAAATATTCTTCGAAAGGTTCATCCTAATCGACAAGGAAAGAAAATCATCAAATGTCAAAATTGGGATATAAGCTTGGAGTTGTCTGTCTGTATATAATATTATATTTTATGCTGGAATCACGGAGGCAAACAAAAGTTTTGTTATGAAAACTGATTTTCTTTTTTTTCCTTTTATCTTTCTTACTTTGTTTTTGTACTTTCTTACTTTGGTTTTATACATCGGATCTCTTCAGTATGGTTAACAATTTGACGGTTTTAAAATAATATAGAGCCGTCAAGATTTGGACAATAGTCATCTAAATGTTACACTAACTCATTATTCGAAGTAGATTTTACTTGGAGAATCTGAAGTCATAGACCAAGGTATGATAAACCAATATTTATAAAAGAAGTTCGATTGGTCCGAGACTTTGTTTAAAGTCGCTTGTGGCTAGGATGACTCAGAACTGCATACAAAGCAAAAACTAAGCATTTATAACCCTAATGTCATAAGAGGACACATATATATGTATATATTTTAGAATCCTCAACTATTTAACCAACTTGCCAAAAAAAAAACTTTCTACTGTAAATTATTTTTTTATGTTTATAAAAAAAGCTGTACAAATTTCATTGAAAGCTATTGAGTGGTTCGAGCTACAGTGTTTTGAGAAAAACGCATTTAATTATTAAATACTCAAGATTTATCTGTAGGATTTTCTTCAAATTTTATATTATACTATATATCCCCTTAATCCTTTAAATTGGTATTATTTCAATCCGTTCTTAACTTAGAATATTATTGAAGAATAATTTATATAAGAATGTCTTGCTCAAAAGCTGTATGAGTGTACGTACCATAAATTGCTTTGCCGTAGGGTGTATGGTGGACAGCTGGTTGTTGAAAGGTGCTTAGTTGGGTTTCCCTTCAGAACTCATTAAGTCGAATGATGTTGCGGCCTCTTGCGGTAATGTGCTTTTGGAACCTTCTTTCAAAACACCAACCAACCAATCGAGGTAGAAAAATTAATATTCTCCATAAATATATGTTCGAATATTTCGCGCGTTATAGTTGTATTGGGATTTATTTTAGCTCAGTAAGGTCACATATCTCAAGACTGAATTCCTTATATGTATAAAAAGAAATATAATTTGGAGTGTCCTAGTGTGACATCTTTTTTTTCACGTGTACGATTTTGTCGCATTTTTTTATCTTACTAATTATTGCTAATTTTCATCCTTGGTCAATATGGTAATAAATTTATAAGCACTTTTATTTTTCTAGTTTGAGCGTCTCGCTAATCCACACATTTACGCAAGTGCGTGCTGCCGCTTTGCGCACCATTCGTTATGTGCTGGCGACACCACGTGACGTTAAAATATTCAACTCAATGCAGCTGCAACATTTAGTATGCCGCTCCATCGATGTGCTGCTGAAGAATGATGATGAACGCGTGCAAGCGCTGAAATTGGTGAGTATATAAAAAAATTAATTATACCAAATTATATTAAACCTCGCAAACTTTCATTTACAGATTCGCAAGATGCTGGCTATTTCACCGGTCGACATCAATCCCGTGCTCGTGCGTTGTTTGGTGTCACTCGCCGACAGCGGCATTGAAGATGGTGATAATATGTTGCGCGCCTGCCTGGCCACACTATGTGAGTTCGCGGTGATGAATCCTGTGCTGTTGATCGTCTGCGGCGGCGTCACAGCAATCACACGCAACGTCCTGGAGTGTCACAATCCACGTATCGCTGAGAGCCTGTGCGGCGTGCTGCTGTATTTGTTGGAGTGGCCGCAGACGCGCAATATATCGGGCGTGCGGCTGGATTGCCTTGCGGCGCCATATTGCGATTTCACATACCGTTTGGGCATCATGAACAAAAATAAGTATGCGTAGACTTGTCTAGGAAAGTTTCTTCTTTTGCTAATTATTTTTGCTGTGTCTATTGTTATTCTAGGGATGCTCGTGAATTGCGCTATACTAGTTGCCGCTTGGCATTGCTGTCGGTTTTGCGCAGTTGGACCGGTACAATTGAGTTCTGTAATCCGAGCAAACCGTCGGGGTTAAAAGCAATAGTGGATACGCTGTATCTGAATCAAATGGAAGTGAGAGTAAGTAATTGGATTCAGTTAGGGGATATTTTATTACACTCTGAACTGGTTATATGAGTTTGCCACGAAGTTTGTAACACTAAAAAAAACGTCGGAGGCCTCAGATAATATCTGCATATACTCGTATAAATGATCAGCGTGAGGGACTGATCGATTTAGCCATGTCCGTCTGTATATACGTGAAATAGTCCCTCAGTTTTTGAGATATCGATCTGAAATCTTGCACTTGTCCTTTTCTTTCCACGAAGCTGCTCATTTGTTCGGGTCAATATAGCATATAGCTGCCACACAAACTGATCGATCAACAAAAGTCGAAGTTAACGTTTTTTCTTGTTTTTTATTTACAAAATTGAATTTTTTGCTTTCAGAAAGCAATATTGGATTTGCTTTACGAACTTTTGAATGTACCGCAACCGCCCTGGACGGATGATTACACGATAGCCTTGCAGACTGTCGATCCTTCAGACTTTCAGGTACTAAAACAATCAAAAAAATTCCATAAAATGTTAGAAATTTACACCACAATTTATTTCATTACAGGATGCTTGGTTGCTCAGCAATGGCTTTGTAGCAATGGAAGGCCGCTTTATCTTGCCGAGTTTGGCTGCACGTGCGCCAAATGTTTGCGAGCAACATTTGTCATTACTGCTGTACTGTTTTCTAGAGACTGGACTCTTAAATGCACTCGTCGAGGTGATCAGATCGAGCGATACGCATCTGTCTGTGCGTGCCACTGTGCTAGTTGGTATGTGTGTAATGTTCTGAAATTACCTTCCCTTAAATTTTTAATTCTACTCTTGCTGTTTTTATAGGTAAAATTTTGCATTTAATGCATACTCATTTACCGGCGGATATCTGCAGCACCAGCCCGGCACTGCCGACACTAATTTCGCACGCTACTCAGGGTAATCAAAACGCCACCGCCGCAATATCAGCTTTACAAAATTACCAAAAAATGCTACGCAATCGTCCTGCATCATGTAGTTTATTTTTGGATAGTATTATACAAGGGGGATGTAAGTAACTGCATATTACTTATGTAATTTACAAATTTTCCTCATCACAACTTATTATTTCCACTATTTCAGCCTTAATACAAACACGTCTGTTTCGTCGTGAAATCAACGCTCAGGATCATGCGCGGTCGTTTAGTGGCAATGCATTGCAATCGCCTCCAGTCGGCGGCCATTTGACCAGTGGCGGTATACTGGGTATTGCCGCCGGTGGTGGTCTTCTCATTAGTGATCGACAGCGTCTTGACTCAGTCTCATCCAGTGACGAGTCGAATGTGCAACCATCCTCATCTCGTCGTGCGAGCTTCCGTTTCAAGCGAAAACTATTGCCGTTCTTTGAAAATCAACGTGTGGCTAAATTAATACGTGATTCGAATGTTTTGTCATCGCCGGACGATAGTGGTTGGGACTGGGATATTATTATCACTATATTGCGCGTAAGTTGCACTTAAAAATTTTGTATTATAACGCATAATTTAATAATGTGTTTTTTTTTTTTGCAGTCGAACATAATGCGTAGGGTAGACGATACGGTCAACAATTTCCTCAAATCGCTCTTGGACTATTACAAACCGAGCAAAAATCGCTTTTCTCATCAAGACTTGGGCAGACCTGGAAGAACTATGCCAGCGTTCGTTATTGCAGGCTTAGATTTCATTGACTGGCTGCTGGCTAATCCGATGGTATAAGAAAGAATTTTGTATATTGATGTTTTTTTATAAGTATTAATACGGTATACTATGCTTAGCGTGAATAGTAGAGTCGATTTAGTCATGTTCATTTATCCGTCTGGCTGCTTGCCAGGCTTTGAGATACTGAACTGAAATTTTGTATAGGTCCCTTTCTACCCAAGAAGCTGCTCATTGGTTGAAACCGTTGGTATCGGACCATTATTGGCTATAGCTGTCATACAAACTGATCGTTAGAAATCAAGTCCATGTATGGAACTTTTTTATTTAACAATATATCTTTACGTAATATATAATGGTTTATTGTCCAAGATAATGCTACAATCTACGATTATATTGATGAGTTCGGACTACTATAGCTGCCATATAACGTTTTCCCTTGCATGCGAACCGTTAGCCGTTTACGTTTTCAAATTTAGATATAAATATAGTTGCCATAAGAGATACACCTGTGGAAGTATTATAGCTTCGAGGTCGATGCCGCCGAAGTTAACATTTTTTTTTAAATTTTATTTATATTTTTTTTTGTTTTATTTATATATATTTTTTTTTGTTTTATTTATTAATTTTTATTTTATTTCTTTAATTTTATTTTATTTATTTGTTTTTATTTTATTTTTTAGTTTTTCTTTTGCGTTTTTTGTGTTTTAATTTTTTTTTTTTTGTTGGTGGTTATGTATACTCGACTGTCGTGAGAACGGTCTATTTAGTGCTATTTGAGAGTACTTTGTGTGTTAGAAAACCATTAGCTACTTGCAATTAGTTGCTGTTATAGCAGCAAACCCGTTCTCAACACAATTAGCAGATACCCGAGCTAAACCGCGCCTAAAGAACAGTGATAGGCTGCTTAAAACCAGGGTTAACTCCGGTAACATCGTAGTCGTTGGAATTTCCATAGGTCTTTAGACAAAAAACTGTGTTGCAGGGTCTTTACTTACTATTAACTACTATAAGATATCACTGATAACGGACAGTAAGTACTTTTGAAAAAATTACTATAAAATAAACCCTAATATAATTTAAATTTTGAGCCGTATTGTTATTTTATCATCATATTTGTATGTTACATACAACCGTACGTAGATTTAGGTGTTTCTTATCACAATACATGTAGTATTATTTATTTATTCATGCATTAAATGGAGCCGTTTTAACGTATTCACCTTTTTCCACCACAGATGGAGAGCATACGCATACTCACCGATTACTTTTCGGACATCAGCAAACAATTGCTGGCCGTGAGCACATCAAATCGTGCACACGACTGCCTCTTTAGTCCACAACACATGAGTAGTACAATGTGTCAGCAGTATTTTTTATACATTGGCCGCATGTGTCGCGCACAAAATGGTATTCGTATACTAACCGACACGGCTGTATTTGAGCAGTAAGTAGCACTACACGCTCGCAAAACTGATTTTACGTGTAGGAAATTATATAATTAATTTCTTATCTTCTCATTGCAGCTTGATAAATTTAGTGCGCAATACTGACCATGTCTGCTATGTGAAGTTAACTGTCTCCGCTCTAGATTACTCGTTAGAATCGGTGACACGTAAGGTGTTGGAGAGAGCTTTAACTGTGGCAAAAGTGCGTAGTGGCCGCTTGTATGCCACACAATTTTTGACCGTTCTACTGCGTGCGCGTCTGCACAACTTCGAGGTCTGGGGTATACCACTGATAATACAGCAGACGAAAGATCCCGACCGTAGTGTCGTTTTGGCGGCGTTAGATGTGCTTGAAGAGGCTTGTCACGAAAAGGTGCTTAAAATCGTCTGTTCATATTGCTAAAAGTTCTAAAAGTCTATTAATTGCATTCTTCAATATTTTTAGTATTATCTCGAAGAGATTGTTAGCTTGTGGCCGAACCTAAAGTCACTTGGCGATGGTGGACGCTTAATAATGGCGCGTTACTATTCACTGCCGCGTGGCTTAAATCGTTCGCAGGCGCGCATACAAGAAGAGATTGAGTACTGGAAGAGCGGCTATAATAAGCGGTGAGCAAGCGTCAAATGAGCACTCTGAAAACTAATGTTATACAATAATATCTGTGTTTTTATTTGTACAGCTATGTCCTGCTTGTCGAGGCTAATACACATTCCAGTTTAACATTGCACATACGCAATGAAGATGGGCACTATAGTCGCCGCAATTGCAATACCCGACCGATTATAATTCCTCCAAATATTTCACCTCATCTCTATGGTCAAATGGTTCAAACAGCTCAAGGTACAACGGCATTGCGAAAAAATGGCGATTTACCGCATTTGATTGACGTGATTAGTCGTGGAAAATGCTCGGATGATGCCGAATGTCTGGAATTGAAGTCGGCCATTTGGGCCGTTGGACACGCATCGACGCACTCGAATGGAATTGAATATTTCTTAGAATCGGGTTCGAGGTGAGAAAAAGAAGAAATTGAGAAAATAATAGTTATAGAAATATAATATTTTGGCGAAAGAATTAAGTAACTGAAATTAGCTATTAACAATTAGCTCTTTAGTTTTTCATCAATATGTTACAGTTATTTCCCAATATAGGGAGCTTGTTTTACTTCTTAAAGATAGTCTAGTGTTTGTTTTTGTTGTAAGAAATAGTTTTAATGAACACTGCTGAAGTGACAGTCCGTGGTCGGATATAAATTCATGTTTGTTTCGATTACATGAGCCATACTATTGTTTGCTTGTTGCAGGTACACAAAACTCAATTTTTATACTCTGAACATGGTATATTAAGTTTCCCACGACGTTTGTAAAATCTAGAAAGAAGTGTCGGAGACTCGATAAAAAAAAGTTCTAAGTTCGGGTGTAACCGAACATTTTATACTCTCGCCACTTGCATGGATCAAAGCCCGGGAAATTACTTCAGGTGTTCGCAAAATTTTATATTAAAATAAGTATTGATCCGATTAAACAAATTTTTGACATTAAATAATGAAAAGAATGTCTTGTACCGAATTTTCTTGAAATCGGTTAAGCAGATCCCAAGATACGGGTTTTCACCTAAAAGTGGGCGGTGCCACGTCCACTGTCTGATTTTGAACGCGGTTCCTATAAAGTCATCTCATACCATACCAGAGATAAAATTTAATGTCTCTGATGTGTTAAGTGCTTGATTTATCCCGCTTTTAGAAGTTTTTAACATTACCGTTATGTGGGGAGAGGGCGGGGTTGTCACCTGGTTTTACTCATTTTAGAACTTCCTACTTGTTAATATTGGTTTAGTTCGCCAATGGTCTAATTTCTAGATTTAGGTAGTCGTTCAATACCATCATTAATTCCCAAAGAACTTTTATTCTCTTTCTGTTTGGAATCGATAAACAGTACAGTAACTCCTATATATGTATGTATGATCAATTTGCCAGAATTACTATCGATTTATTTTATAAAGCCAGAAAAATTTAATCTTTATATTCATAAAATGTGTTATATAAATAATATTGGCAGATATATATGGTACTTTAGTTTCGGTGCCGCCGTGGTGGGTAATTTTTAACGGTTGTTTTACTACGCTTTAAGAAATAATTCCTCTCTTATATACTTTTTGCTTGTTACATTACAGAATCTACGAGAAATTGGTTATACTGGCAACAAAATGTGTTGTATACTCAATACGAGCCACTTGCTTCAATGTGTTGGGCTTGATCGGCGGTACAAACGATGGTGCTAATATACTCTACAAGCTAAGTATGTACTTTGACGTTTTGGTACTAAATATTTGAATTTACTAACTGTTGCACAAACTCTTTTACAGATTGGTTGAGTGTACGGCACGATCGCAACACTGTTTGGCCAGTGCATCAACCAGAAGATTGGATGTCGAACAACTACACGCCGGTGCGACATCATTACGAGGATATGCCACCTTACAATTACACCGGTATTGATGATCAAATCGATGGCTCATATACGGGTAGCTACTGGAATTTGCTCTTGAGCAGCAGCAGTACGACGGGTCATGATGGTGGCGCGGCCAGCGCCAGCTCTGAACCGCCAGATGCGAATACCACGGCCGATAGTAGTAAAACGTGCGATGATATTGCCACAACAAAACCACCGCAACCACAACACCAACAGACGCTGCAGCAAACCGTTAGCACAAAATCAAAAACCCTACCGGAGAATACATATGTGCGTCATAGCAAACATCAGCGTTCTTTGTCGGAGTCAAAAACTACGGATGTGATTAGCCTAATAAGTGGCACTGCCATTGGCGCTATGGGGGTGCAACATCCGGCGCATCGCATACGCTATAACTCCTGCACCGATTCGAATACATCGGGTGTGAGCAGTTGTGAGTCGGTGACCATGCGGATACAGACCGTGGGGTGAGCGCTTATTTGCATAGTTTTGGTTTTCAATAAATTTGACGAAGTCAACACTACAATAATGTAATGTACTACTTTTCCAGCGATTTTCAGCAATTTCCGTTGAGTCCTATACCGAGCATGTCGAATCTGGTTGTTGATGTGCAACCGCAAAGAAGTCTCCTACTGCGTGGCACCTCTTTAGTTGGTGCTTCATATCTGAATACCTCACTAAGTCCGGCGGATATAAAAGGTTATGCGCAGTTACGTTCATTGCGAAAATACTGTCGACCGATAGTCTCTGAGTCGGCGACAGACGTTTACGATATTATCGATCGCATTGAGTCTCTCCCCCTCGGTTCCTCCGTGATGCGTCCACGCAAAACTTCCTTTGGTGAATCGCAGCGTCGCATGAAAGTGCGTAGCTTGGATCGGCAATCTTCGCTGCGCATACCGTAAGTTATACATATTTGCCATCAAAGATATGTATTTGTACTTACAAAGCTTGAACGTATACACTTTCAGGCGCTTAGACTTTGAAGAATTGCAGCAAGTACCATTGCCAACACTGGCAGCACCAAAGTTTCTAGCACAAAACGATTTGAAAGGTCCTTGCTATGCAGGTAAATGAACTATTAGCGATTTTTGAATACTGTGAATATTTATTGTAAATACTTTTACTTTACTTTAGAAATGAGACGATTTAGTAGCAAAAAAATTTTCGCTTTATTAAAAAAATGTATATATTATTGGGTGTATGCATTAATTCGTGCGGTTTTCTAAGAGAGGGCTCTACTAGTATTATTGCGCGTCGTGTTCATCTGTGGCTATATTCATTTCAAAGGTACTGTCATTTCGCGTCGTTTTCAGTAGATGTCATTTGTTTGAGCGTGAACAACAATTTGTTTCATTCATTTGAAAATGTCGAAATTTGTACCAGATAAAGTGTTTTTGCGGGGAGTTCTTCTTCATTATTTTAACATGAAGAAAAGTGCTGCCGAAAGCCATCGTATTTTACTGGACGTTTATGGTGACCATGCTTTAGCCGAACGAACGTGCCAAAAGTGGTTTGCACGGTTTAAAAGTGGCAATTTCGACTTAGACGACGGAGAACGACCCGGACAGCCAAACAAACTTCAAGACGAAGAATTGAAGACATTGCTCGACGCAGATGCATGCCAGACGCAAGAAGTACTTGCAAAAGTATTAGGAGTTGATCAAGCAACCGTTTCCAGACGATTAAAATCATTAGGATTCATCCAGAAGCTTGGAAATTGGGTGCCTTATGAATTAAAGCCAAGAGACGTCGAACGTCGATTCTGCATGTCGGAAATGTTGCTTCAACGCCACCAAAAGAAGTCGTTTTTGCATCGGATTGTCACTGGCGATGAAAAATGGATTCATTATGATAACCCAAAGCGCAAGAAATCGTATGTGAAGCGAATATCCATGCTGCTAAGGTTATGCTATGTATTTGGTGGGACCACAAGGGTGTGCTCTATTATGAGCTATTGAAATCGGGGACCTCTACCGAAAACAATTGATTCGTTTGAAAAAGGCCATCGCGGAAAAACGACCAGAATATGCGACCAGACACGAATCAATAATTTTTCATCATGACAACGCTCGGCCACATGTTGCAAGGCCAGTTAAAAACTATTTGGAAAACTGTGGGTGGGAAGTTCTACCTCACCCGCTTTATAGCCCAGACATAGCACCTTCCGATTACCACTTGTTCAGATCAATGCAGAATGCCCTCACCGGAGTACGCTTCTCTTCAGAACAGGGTATCAGAAATTGGATTGATTCTTTCTTGACCTCCAAGCCGGAGAAGTTCTTTTGGGATGGGATCTACAAACTGCCAAAAAGATGGGCAAACATCATAGCTTCCGATGGGCGATACTTTGAACATTAAATGTATTAATAAAGTCTTAATTTTCGTAAAAAAACCGCACGAATTAATGCATAATGAAAGGAGTCAGTTTTGGACATTCATCTGAATCAAATTCGTCTAACCTTTTTATTGTTGTAATTTCATAAAACAAATTCCTATAATTGAGAGTAATTACCACTACAATACGATTACTAAAATTTGATCCTAATAGAAACGGATCTCTCTAATCTTAAATACCGAACTAGGTGTGCATGTCGCTCTTAAAACAAAGATCAGTTTAACTGAGAATCTGGTTGTTTTAAAATCTATTAGGTTGATTACTAATTTTCTTCAGTTCGGCTATCTTTTATCCTCTAAGACTTTATATAAATTTTTCGATTTTGGTCGCACTTTACTTTTCCTTACTTTCTTTTCTTATTATATTTAGTAATTTTCCAATTTATTTAACTATACTATAGCTAATTTCCTCTGATCCTTACTTACAGGTATTTGTCTTCCAAAAAATCTGCTTGATCTCTTTCCTACCCGCAATGTGGGACGCACGTACGTCTCACGCGACATACAAGATCAGGACTTGATGGATATAAATTTGCTTACTGCAAATCAACAGTTCCTCAACGATTCTCTCAACAATGAATGTGGCGATGAATCTTCGGTCATATCGTCACTTTCCGACGTGTCGTCGGTGAGTAAGCGTTCGAAGTGGCTCGGCGCTAAACATGGACGCAACAATTGCCTCCATTGTTCACGTGCGCGACGTAATCGCACACATACGCAACGCCTGGATAGTGATGCAGCCACCGCGGGTGCCGCACTTACCACAGGTGGTGAACTTTACACCAGCAGTGGTACATTAGTTGGTGCCACAACAACTACACACGTCACGCGTAAGACCAACAAACAGCCACCAGCCGCACAACAACTGCCAAGCATTCAACAGTCGACGAAGTCACAACCGCCGCAGCAAAACGCGCAAAGCTCCTCCACTATACAGCTATCGGACATCTCATTCAACTCGCCGGAAAGTATACTGAGTGAGGAGAGCATGCCCGATCGCCTGACCGCCAACATATTGTTCAACGTGCAACGTTTGGCCAACCCGGTCAGTGCGCGGCTGACGAAGAAGGCATTGTTGGAGCTGAAGCAGAAGCATCCAGCGGCCTTTCAAGATATATGCCTCTATTCCGAGGTGTGCAAAACATTGGGGCGCAGCAGTTATCGCATGAACGCTCGTCGATTTTTACAGGAATTATTTCTTGACTTGAATTTCGACTCGTTCTATGCTGAGCCCTCAGATATATTACTGAAGAAGGAGAAGTATATGGATTTCGAGCGTGACCGTAATGAAGTGGAGCGCTTGCATGAGCTGAGCGGTAACTCACGGGCAACCAAAGGTAAGAGTGGTGCGTCCGCTGCATTAGGCGCTATTGCTAGTGGACACGGTGGGGAGTTAAGCGGTGGCACTACGAAGGTATTAACAACACAAACAATAGCTGGCTTGGGCTATATGCCAACGCACAAGGCGGTAGCGCATCTCAGCGGCAAATCACAACCACTGGCTAGTGTTTACGAAACCAGCTGTGAAAACCTACTGCAGGATGGTACAACAAAGGCTGAACTTAATGTGAAAACGAAATTCAAAGGTGATAACAATCGTGAGGATAAAACGGATGCGCGTACAAAAGCTAAAACGCACGTCAACACATCCGCCTCGGTGAGCGTCACTTCGTCGTTGGGTCGTGAAATGCGCAATGAATTGCGTATAACCTCCGATAGCGATGAAAGCGATTATGAAGATAGCAATCGTTCGACGCAGTGGATTGCGGCACCATCGGTGCTGACCAACGATGATGTGGACGAAGTGGATGGCATTGCGATACAACGGTGTTCCATTACGCCTGCCTCGTCGACGACGGTGGCATTTTCATGCAATACAACTGGCACAAACACCGCCTCCAGCCAACCGACGATAAGCAGCAGTAATTGCAGCAGCGAACAAACGACGAATAGCAGCAATCGAAGCAGTATTTGTACGATATCGCGACAACCGACGATGGCCAGCGGATTTTCGGACAACAATATGGAACACATTAGTGTTAGCAGCAATAGCAACATCAACAACAATAACAACAATGCGAATGCTAATGTGAACACCAGCTGTAGCAGCACGAATTTGAATGCGAATATAAGTACGAGTGTGAGCAGCGGTAGCGTCGGCACGAGCACGAGCACGGGCATCAGCAGTTGTGGCGTCGGCGTCGTCGGTGGCGCCAACAACACAGGTGGAGCGAGCATATTAGAAAACCAAAATAAAAAGTATACACGCGGACGTTTTTATACGCTTGAATTGGACTTGAGTTGTACGAAAAATAAATTTCCCATTACAGATCGTAGCCGCAATAGTGCAAATTGGAAAACGGAAAGTGCTGTCGCTGTCGCTGCCGCTGCTACAACGTCTACTGCTACCAACATTGATGGCGCAATTCTGCGGCGTAGCAGCTGTACGCAAGGTCTTGGCGCCAATGGTGGACTGCTCACGTTAGGCGCAACAAGGCAACCACCAAATTCACTTACAACAACAAACACAGAAGCCACGTCGGCGTCAACTAGCACCAGCAATAGCAATTTCCACTATCGTTTGCCCATCATGCGGCAATCATACACAGCAGGCATTATGCCACAAATGCAATACTTCCATGCAGATGACGGCAGCAGAGATTCGATTCGCGACACTACTACTACCACCACAAATAGCAGTAACAGCAATGCTACCGATGGTGTCGTTGCGATTGAACCATTGACTACTAAGCATAATGTTGCTGCGTGTAATCAGCCAACGACGATCACGACGAGCAGCGTTAAGACACTAACAATAACTAAGAGCTTGGCGGCGTCACTGGCGAAGCCTATCGGCAGTTTGTACTGTGAGAAACGCTTGCAGGCGCTAAAAATGGACACAAAAGCCACTGACACTTAAATTCACGCGACTTCCATGTAAAGTGGACCCAAAACAAATACCAACGGACACTTCAGTTTATTATTATTTTTCGCTTACCCACCAACCCCCTATTTTATTTGTCTCCTGCCTTTCAGCAGCTGATTGATACCGTATTTATTTTTAAGTTTACGCTTTTAACAATAGGAATTGAATTATGCAAAGTATGCATGGGAGTAGACTATATTCTAAAAAGTGATTTTCTCTATCAAGGCAAGTCGTGGGTAGTTTTATAATGTTTGCTTAGGACAATTCGCTTATTGAAGTTATGAAATAACGTACATTTACTACACGATTTTTGAAAAGACTCTGAAATTGTTAACACTATACATGTGTATATATCTGTAAGCGACTTTATTTTGTTTGGATTTGGTATCACTGTATTTGTAGCAAGAAATATGTTTTCAAAAAAAAATTACGAAGTACTAAACAAAAGTTTATTATTAAAAAAAGGCTTTACAGCCAGTACTTTGTACCACAAAATGAAAAAAGAAAATTGCTTGCTTTCTATTTGAAAAACAAATTGCTAATACTTGTGTTGCAAACGAAAATTCTAAAGGCTAGTATATGTATATACATATATACAAAATGTATCCGAAGCAATGAATGAAAAAATTTAAAAAAAATTATAAATGCATTGTACAGTTAAAATTTCATAACAATTAAGATACGTTTGGTTTATAGGAATTCTTTGATTATACTCCATAAACTGCATTATTATGCTAGTACTTGCCGCTAACATGTGCTAAACCAAAAATTAATCGGATCTGTTAATAAGTGGTAGCCGTGAGTGCTGTAGTTACAATTAGGAAAAATCGTTGGAACAAATATGTAGATTTTCAAATTAAATAGCCAAACTGCAGAAAAAGCGTGGGAGAGTACGTATGCAATTATAGGTTATATTTGCTCCAATTATGGTTAGAAGCTGTTAGGATTACATGCAAGAGTAAGGAAGAACGTTCCACTAGCATTTTATGGCCGATTCACAGACAACTTTTGCTTAGCTTTGTGTCAGACATTTTCTTTAACAGATAATTTCCATGTATGCTTTTGTATGATTGTATGAGTTCGTTCAAAACCGGGGCGAAGCAAAATGTTGGACAATTTCACTTTTTTACGCTTTGCCAAGCAACAGTCGCCATTTATAGAGAGAGTAGAGAGAAGCGCGGAAAGCAAAGTGTTCATTCTGACATACTCTGCGTTTTTCGCTTTATTGTCACTGTGTGAATTGTAAAGCAAAGCAAACAGGGTTATATGTGAATCGGCTATTATTCCTGATATGACCGTTATATTATATTATTGTTATTTTTGTATGTTTGTATGCTTTTTATAAAGTACGAAAATCGACTATCTGTTTTCAGGATATATAAACATTCAGCAACAGTTAATAGCCTAAATTGGTGTGCGCTTTATTTTTTGGCAAATTTTCTATTATACATATAATTTGCATAAAAAGGGTATTAATATTATTTTTTACTTATCGAACTTTGTACTTGTAGCATGAAAATTCCAATTTAAATTTGTTTTTCAATGTCCTGCACTCTTCTAATTTTTCCTGTACAACAGTTGTTCATCGGTAATATTTTCTAAAGCAATACAACTACTGTACATGCATATTTGTGTACTTTGACAGTGGCGATTATCTATTTTCGAACTTATTTTGTTAAAAACAAAGTTTTTCTTAACATATGATTTCGATTAATGGTTGGTGAAGAGCATTATAAGAATTTCGTCGCGAATCGAACACTCAAGTGACATAAATCTAGTAGAGAAATTCAGAAAGAGACAGATTTTATACCGCATATGTACAAAGAGTATAACAAATAACTTTTTAAAGTGGTGTAATCGTTTGTTAGCTTATCTATTTGATTTTGCCAGTCTCTGTGATTTAGACTAGTCATAACAGAAGGAAACCTCTTAAACCTTATGAAATGTATATAGAAATGATCAGCCTGACCAGCTGAGTCGATTTAGTCATGTTCGTCAGTCCGTCAGTCTGTATATACGCGAACTAGACTCTCAGTTTTTGAAGCTGCTCATTTCTCGGAATCGGAAATCGGAACCACTATAGCATATAGCTTCCATACAAACTGAACCATCAAAATCAAGTTGTTTTATGGAAAACTTTTTTATTTGAAGATATATCTTCACGAAATTTGACTTATATTATTGTCTAAGGTAATGGTGCAAACTCCAATCAAAGCATACCTCTAACCGATGAAAACCAAGTTCTTGCATGTAAACTTTGTTTTATTTGTGAAGGTTATTGTAGCTGCAACCAAAGTTAACGTTTTATTTTTTGGTTGATTTTTTGTCACTACAAGTTCTAGAGTATCAAAGACAGGCTGTACTCTATTGTATTGAATTCTACTTGATAACTGCACTGTGATTCTTACTTTTGACAAGCGAGTAGAGAAATGGCGAATAGAAGACGATGTTTTTACATTATTTCAATTTTGAAGCGATTTGGTTGAATTTATTTACATACTTAAATTACCCATGCGTGAAAAATTTTACAAGTTTTTTTGTTGAACAATAGTATCAGTCAACATTATAGTTTCTAATAACAAAATAAATATTTGTTGGTAATAAAATAATTTTATTTTATTTTTCTAAAACATCTTTGCTTAAGCTCAGCCCTACAAAAAGTACACAAATATGTATGTACAAACATAAACTTGAATGTTAAGACTTTATCCTAACGATATACGAACAAACATACATACATGCCTACATATATTAGCTCACACATTATAGTTCAATTCTAATGCATTTCTACAATAGTTAGTTACGATTTTATTACAACAATATGCCGACAAACGAATTTCCTATTTAGCATAGGTATAAACAGAAAACAACACAAAAGACAACTAAAAAAACAAATTAATAATGAAATAACATAAAATGAACTGCAGCTGGTGGCATTTTCCGCAACATTACAGAAAATATACATACATACGAGTATATTGTACAAAGGCAAATAAATTGTAAAGAAATGTGAAAACTCATGTAACACACTTACACATGTATATAAAAGTGATAGAGGCAAAGAAATTAACAGTTCATAAGTATTAAAAAATGTTTTTTGTTTTTAACACATTTGCAATAACTTACAACAAATATAGCGAAATATAAATAATACGAATTAATACATAACAACAAAACTCTCAACTGCCACTAAGAAAATAATGATTTCAACAAAATAAAACAAAAAATGAAAAATGAACGAAGTTATTTGCTTTAAGTAACGAATATTTTTTAATTCCTTCAATGCTATAGCTCTAATGGTTTAAGAGTTGCAGTTTTAGTTTTATTTTTTTATATGTATTTAAACTCGTACGTAATTTCTTTTTGTTTTTATTGCAAACCTTCACTTAAGTTTCAGTTTTCGCCTTAAAAAATGATCCAACGTAAACAAGCCTTTTTATTAGCAATTTAAATCTTTTTCCATACATTTTACATGTTTTTTTTTAATCTTTGCAATAAATTTTTATCAACACAGCAAATAAACCTATAACTGTAAAATAATGATTTTCTGTTACAAAATTTTCCGCTCTACAAAAAAGTTTTTTTTTCATAAAAAGATTCCTTTAATAGTTATAAGCAGTTAAAGTTATGCATCAAATGAACTGTACAAACAGTACACCATGTCGTATAAGTAACACAAATAATTTAGGCGCGGTTCAAGTTGAAAATAGTTTGTTTACGTTGGATCCTTTATTTTAGAGCAAGAACTGAAACTTCGTGGGCGTTTGTAAAAAACATTATTTGAGAAATAACGGACACCCTGATATATACGTATACATATATATATACGCTGTGTATATGCGCGTGCAACTCTTAAACTACTACTTTTAAACAATTTTATTGTCCTCGACTCTCCGCAATTATGTACAAATGTTTATTCTGATTTGCTTTTTCGTCTTCGAGTTATATGTATGTATATAACTATTTTTTATATACTATATATTTTCAATTTATTTCGCTTTTTACATATGAGTTCCTTTAAGCAACACGAACTAGTACCATAAAACATACATACATACATACACATGAACACTGAAGCTAGCTTAGTTTTAAAGTAATTGCAAATAATAAGAAAGATAAACAACAACAAATACAAAATAAATAAACAATGTAACTGCATTTTTGTTTCCTATTACAACTACATAAACACATACTATAAATACAACAAAAACAAATAGTTAATTTACATATTAGTACGAGTAGCTAAATGAATTTAATTATTTATACGACTTTTTTTTATTTATTTTTGTTTTTGTGTATTTACTGGTTTAATAAGTTAGTATGCACGCACGTTTCCTACGAAGACGTAAAATTTTTCGTAAACATAATAGACGTTGAAACGACAAAATGGTAAAATTATAAATTGTTTGTGTTATTAGTTGGCTTACCGTTAACAAAATACGATTTCCTACGAGCGGCTTATACGATGAAGTAAGGCACGCGAATTTGTATGCGGTTAAGGACTGTCGCTTCGACAGCATGCCTTAAAAATTTCTTTAAGCCCCTATCACAACAACAAAAACGTGCTTATAACCGTCAAAAGAAATTGCGATTTAATAAACGCGCGTTATTATAGCCGAAGAATATGCATTTCTGCAATTGTAAGCAATTTTTTTTTGCATTGAAATTTGCATACAAAAAAAAACAAAATATGAAATCTACACACACATACATTTTCACTTAATGCATACACTCGTTAGTGTTTACGTTCAACTGATTATGAAGTTAGTATTAAGTTTTTTGCGTAAATTAAGTCTTAGCATAAGCAAAACAGAATAAATGCAACTATTATTCATTAATTATTGATCTTGGCGTGAAGTGAGGTTAGTTTCTAGTTTGTTAGATGCATACATACATACATAGTATATTTATGCAAATATGTAACAACAATATACCAACTGACAACAAAAATTGTATATTAAAGTAAGCAAACCAAATTAAAACAAAAATAAAAACAATCGTTTTAGCGGTAAGCGTAGTTCGAACATAAATATGCAAGAAGAAGAGAAAAATTACAAAAAAAAAAACAAAAAACGATTGATCGAATCTTTAACTTGAATAATGAAAAATATGTATTAATATGTACTCTAATACATACATATATAATTTATAGCCTCCTATGAACGCCAGCGTAGGCCGAATGTAACAATAGTTTAAAGAGTTATCCTAATAGTTGATTAAAACGTCAAGCTGTATTTGTAGCAAAGCAAAGGCCTACAGAAATAAGTATATATATATACATATATATAAAGTATATACAAATATACATAAATAACTACCTAGTAATATGCTAAAAATCAATTCATATTTATTATTTCACAACTAAACTAACTGTACAATATTTAGGTGATCTATGAACTAAAGAAAAAAGTAATAAATACATACACATATATAAATAAGTTATAAGTGAAATACATTGCGTTATCGCAAGCAGAAAATTACAGAAACTTTGTGTTTTTTTAAACCGCTTGCAATATTCAGAGAAATACAAATGTATAATTATTACACAAATGAATATGTGTAGTTTTATACAGGTCAGTTATCGAAATTGTTGAAATCATGAAAGGCAAGTTAGCTCTGTGGCTCTGTTAGGTCTGACGACGCAGCTAGACCTATAGAATGCCCATGCCCTCACTCTATTGTCTCCTCTCTGAACCAACCCGTGCTTCTGCTGCAGTTCATCAGTACAAATGGTTTTATTTGTGCAAACTCTGAAACGTCGACCGATAGTTGCATATATAGAGCCTGCATTCGCATAGAAGATGTTTTACAGTCTCCTCTCCTCCTCCAGCTTCTACAATAGTCATTGTATGCTGCACCTAGTCTGCTGGCTTGTCTGCCAAATAGACATTGACCTGTTAGCATTTCTACTAGAGTTTTTATGTCATTCCTTTTAAATTTTAATAGTCGGCATGTGCGGCCAATGTTCCATTCATGATATGTTAGAATGCTTGTTGGGCAAGTTACGGATTGACTCCATCGAGACTCAATTTAAATTTATAACATGTTCGTTGATTAAATATTCCGGCGGCTATGCTAGCAATAAAAACTGAGTTAGAGACTTTTAAGGGTCGTTTGGAAGACAATGAATTCTCAGAAAGTGAAAGTGGTGTGAATTCTGAGAAAGGCCTTTACATAAAATTTGCGTGCTATAAAGGCAAAAGGAAATATTTGTTAGAACGGAAATTTTGAGACATTGAACTAAGGCTTTATCAAGCATAGCACTAAATTACCTTGGAACTGTAATTTGACGTACATGAAGGACTAATGTCTAAACAATTATTGATTGAGCACAAATATCGAGCAAAGTATTTGTCCTGATGTTCTGTTAGAGTTTGAAACAGTCTACAAGGTTACTCGAATAAGTCCATTGGTGCCAGCTTGGCATGAACGAGGATGTTGAGGGCTAAACTAGAGTGTTTATCGTATCGAAGGTATAGAGAGGTAATGCAGTATTACTTGTATGTATCTTACGGTTGTTGTGAGGCGTGGCATACGTTGGGTTAGAAACGGCGGAGTAAAGTCTAAACTAGCTTAGCTACTTGTGAAAGAATGCTGATCGGGTAATAGAACTGCCATGAATTCCAGGTTTCTGTTCGACTTGAGTCAGATCTCCGATGTAATGTGAGTAACCAAAGGCCGCATTGTACTGTTCATTTTGGATTTGATCTGAACTCAAACTGTTTCAGCTCTTGCTATTGTTATTATAGTGGATTCTTCCATATAGTTGACAGTCATTGGCTAGCAAACGTTGCTGTTACATAAAATGTACCATTCTGGAAACGGTTCGTATGTTTCAATCGTATGGTCTGCTTATGGATGTCCACGATGCGCATAACTTCAAAAGTAAGGTTTTACAGTCCGAATCATAATAACTGCGTCATCGGTTGGATTAAATTGGTCGATCGCTACTTTTCTGATCTTGCAGAAAGTTAGCTCTGCTGCATCAGCGCTAGTGGTGAAAGTATTATACTATTATATGCTCTAAACCTAACCCAGTTTACCTTCTTTTTTAATAAGCAAGAAGTTGATCGGCTGGAATCACACCTGGCAGGTCATTATCTAGACTGGAGTGCAAGAAGATTAAGCTCGGTGATGATAATAAAGAGGCTACTAGGTTACTGGTACATTGTTGCTATTTATATGTATTAGCAATTGGCTGATGTCTTATAATATGAACATTACGGCCTACATAATTAATGTAAAGATCGTTGACTGCTACTAAAATTAACCAAATGTTGAATTATTGCTGTGGTGTTTCATATCGGTCGCACAGCCAGTTGGTAATGGTGGTTATTATGTTGGGACGCTGGTCACATGACCTGAAAAGGTGCAATGGTTGTTGGTTCTGCAGGCTGCTGTGACCTTAACAACTGTCTGTCCGCTGAATGGATGGCAGAAGGTATTAGTGTGTCCATTATTTACCAATTTGATTGTTTTTATTAAATGCCTCGAGTATTTTCAGTTTCTGCCTTAAAAACAAGTTATTCTATATAAGCAAGCTTTTAATTTTGAATTTAAACCGTGCTTAAATAATTTTACTTTTCCCAATATAGTTTATATGGAATTTTTTGATCTTTTACCATCTTTTTTTTTATCTCTAAAGCAAATAAATCTACAACTTTGGAAAAAACATTAAATATTTTAATACAAATTATATTATTAAATATTTATTTTGTTCATAAAAACACTCCCTTCAAAGTTATACGCAGTATTCAAATGGTACACCATGTCGTATGAGCAACACAGAATGTATAACTCACTGAATGAATGCTGAAAATAAAAAGCTTCTTTGCGTTGTATTCTTGTTTTGGGGCAAAAACTAAAACTTCAGGGGCGTTGCAAAAAAAAACAACCACAATCAATTCGGGAAATAACAGACACCCTAAAATACATATATTGTATTAATTAATGAGGCCATAGATGCTAAGAACATCAAAGGTTTATAATTTCTAATTTGTAAAATACGACTAATTTAACCATTTGGAAATTAATTTTTGATTTTTCTTAGATATGAACTCACCTACTGTTTAAATCAACTATATCGAGTTCGCAACTCACCCCATGTCATAATCAAAATACAATTTTTTATTTATGCTCGGCAAAAATAGCCGAGTTTAATATCAGTAATAATTTTATTTTCCGTACAATTTTCGAAACAATTTATGTTTTTCTTTACACTAATTTTATGTGTAAGCGATTATCATCTTTTATGTCAGTAGTTTAGTAATATGTACTTCATTGTATGTACGCTCTTATTTGAGCATCTTTTGAATACCAAATACAATTTCATTGATTCAATTAATCAACAGAATCTACAGTTACACATTTGTCATAGCATTTGCAATATGCAAAATAATTGATGCAATAATGCAACTTTTTTTTTTCTCCTTTCAAATCTTAACACTTTTCTAAGATAATACAAAATTTCACTACGATAACTCTACACAACTTGTATATTAGAAAATCGTATTCTTCATTGAAAAGGGCTTATACATATACATACATATGTATGATTATCGAATTGTATTTATGCATACTTTTTTTTACATACATAACATTATTTAGTTACATATATGTATATTTATTTGAATAATACTACAATATTATAAATACTATTAGTACAATGTAAAAAAAGAGATATTTTCGCTTATAAAGTCTTTGTGATTGTATTGTGCCATGGCAAAACTTTATGATTAAGCTCGTACAAAAACGTCGGTTTTCTTATAAATTTTTGATAGTTAAGTGCAATACATATTTTTGGGGGCGCTAACTTACACTTTCTAACGGTAGTATACGGTAACAACAACAACAACCTGAAATGCTTTTTTCGCCACATCACTACTTTTCTTTTTATAGAAATCATTGTTAAATCTGAAGAAGAATCATATATGTATAAAACTGAAATAAGAACAAGCATTGCGTCATTGATATTTGTGCGTCTCTATTCTCCAAATAATCAACTTTACTTATCCTTTTGACCCCCTTCAAAGTGATTTTGGAGCCTAAAAATGTAAGATAATTAAAGTGGTAAGGTAAGGTTTACACGATTCATTAAAATATTTATAACATTTTTCTAGCAGTCATTACATTCTCCTAAGGAGTTATTTTGATCGTCTTAAAAAATATTTTGGGAGAAAAGTCAATAGGCAAGTCAAGAGTTAAGATGATAAATGCCTTAAGAAGTCTCCAAAGATTTTTCTTGCGGTTATTGTAGCATTCTATGAGATTTTATTCTGCTCTCACTAAAAATTATTTTGCGAGGTAAGTCAAGGATTAAAATTCGCTATTAAAATTATTATATCGAAAAATTTCCACAAATTGTCTTTGTAGCATCTACATACATATGTACATAAGTATATGAAAGTTTCTGTTGTTCTTAACACCAAACGGAGAAAAGTTTCAAAAGTCGAAGGGCATTATGGTTGCGGAAAAATATCTCTGTTGTGTGTGTGTTGTAATTCTTTTTCAATACAATACTTGTTCTTACAATTTAGCTCGTATTTTGTCCGATTATGTCAAACTTCGAACTATTTGAAACGAAAACTGTGACTTGACGAGTAGTTTCGGTTTATGTTATTGATAAAAATATTCGAGATACTAGATGGATACACCTCCATGAAAATTATCTTACTTTATAGTATATTGAAATAATATTGAGAAATTTTTCGTTTACTGTTATATTTCTTTTATATGTAGGTAGGTAGCTTAAAACGAAACTTAATTTGAATAAAACTATATATAAAATGTCTGTATTAAATATTGGTTTAAAACTAACTTATCTCAATAATATATAATATGGAGTATAGATATGTTTAATAAGAACACATTATTTGCGTACAATTCATAACTTTTGCAAAAGCACATGCCACATTGAAAGGTGGTAAAAAGAAGATTATATTGAAGTTCCAAACGAATTTTCCTTCTACTATATACTAAATGTGGAGTGAGGTGAGGCTCTAAGCTCCAGTGGGAGATGACTTCATCATCATGGAAGTTTAATCGTCGAAGATTTAAAATTCTTAATTACTGAAATTTGTGCCGACAAAGAAGTGTGTATTAGAAATATCATTTCGTACTATTGACCCTCATTGATCAACAGCTGAAAAGTCAAAAAATTAATTTTGATTTGATGGTGATGGGCGTTATCTTACTAGTAACATACATCGAGGAAAATATACTTTGTTTGCCAGTATGACTTCATTTAGCACGTTACAAAATTTACGGATGGTGTTGAAGAGGATGTAGATCATATCTGAAGAACTTGTAGGATTTCATTTTGATGTGTATGAAAAAATGCATAAGTAGCCTTTGGCTGTTTTGAGTGAAGTTTCTTCAGCTTCAGTAGCCAAATTTGATAACATAATTTTTGCTAATTTTATTAATGAAATTCATTTTGTATCAAGTTCGAAATCCAAATTAGTTACTTTATATACCATTTGTTGATTAACATAAATGTAATAAACAATAATGTACTAAAAACTTGCTTAATAATTAAGACTTTTCTATCATTAAGATGTTTCAGATCAGCTTCTTTTCTATAAATATTTGTAAATGCAATTTTAATATATGTTCGTTTCTTTCAGCATTTTGTAATTATTATAAATATTATTGTTTATGAAAATATGTTAAAATGACTGAAGTCGACCTAAGTTAGTGCAAGTGATTTTGACATCGTTGGCAGAAACAAATTTCAGGGGGGTTTTCTGTTCAAATTTAGCACCATGTTAAAAGGGGATGAAAAAGATAAAAATATTTAGTGCTGCTAACGTGTATTTTTTAATATTTAATATTATATAATGCACTACGTCAATTATTGATTAAATTTTATTTACTTTTCAACTGAATAAAATTTGTCGCAAACGCAAAAAGTGCTTATATGTATATTAAGCTCAAACAATGTGGCGTATACACGATCTCTTATCGGGCTGTCGGTAGCTGCTTTGTAATCGACGAAGAGATAAAATGGATCCATTTCATATTTTCGGCTATTTTGCAGGATTTAACGTAGCGTGAATATTTGGTCAATGGTGGAACAACCAGGTCTTACTCCGCACTGATAAGATCCAATCAGTTTGTTGGCAAGTGGTTTCAGTTTTTCACACAATATGCTTGAAAGGGTATTCGCCTTACCCTAAGACAATATTCAATGTTTACATACCGACACTAAATATGGCGAACCCTGTAGTTTCAAACAATGTTTTAGAATTGAGAACCTCACCTCAATTCAGTTTAGAATTTGAGGTTATGAAAAGAACCACACTTTGGCTTAAGTCGACTTAGGCTGTTTTAACATATGTCCGCATATCATGTTCGAAGGGCGTCTTTCAAAAATCTGCAGCATATTATTTGTTCTCAAGGTGTGTAATCAATAAAAATGTATTTAATATATTTTGATATACTTTTAATATATATGCGACGAATCTACTATACTTAATTAGCATTACAACATTTCTGATGTGCTTTTGTTATCAAATTGGAAAAAAAGCCGAGCTTACAAAAAATATTCTCTACATAAATACTAAATATACTTTGGCTACAGTCTCTTTAAGTATTTGTATATACTATTTTATACATATGTATGTCTATTTTAAATGTATGTATTTATTATTAATTTAATATTTTTGAGCCTAAAGGCTTTGGCGCCCTTTATCTTAGTGTGTGTGTAAATGTGCAAGTAAAATTAATGGAAGATCGCTTAGTCATTTGATTTATCTACCCCTTTATATATATATATATTTAGATATAGCTTATACTAATATTTGTTTTTGTTGTTTGTAAGTATTTTGAGTAGCGAAATTAAGTAACTTGTAAGTAATACTATATTGCGTGTTTAGGTTATATCTATATGTATGTAAGTATGAAAAAGCTCCGTTTTGATTGGCATGCATGTAAACTAATATGTTTATGTATATACGTACATATGTACTATATGTGTGCGTGTGTTTGTATTTCGCTTTAAAATTGTTGCTTTATTTATTTGTATATAATTTTTTATTGTTTTTGTTTTTTTTTTGTATATACTCAGTATTATTATTGTTGCTATTGTGTTGGTTGCGTTGGCTTCGTATTGGCTTTTGTATTCGTACTTTTTAGGCAATTGATATCGGCAGTACATATGTATTATTAAAATGCAGAGAGCAAAAAGGAACTATGATGCTTGATAAATAGTGTGCGAGAATAAAGCTACAATGGTTTTAATTTTCGATTTTATGTTCCTTTCTTCTTTATAATGATTTACAAGTGAATTATTTGTGTTTCAGGAATGACTAGGAAAAGGTTGTGCTTTAAGAAATGTAATAATATGTATATACCGTTTACCGTTATAATTACTTGATGTTCTTGGTTGGTCTTCGAGTGTTCGAGAGAAAGATCGTGGGCAAGCTTCATAAAATAAAATTTTTTGGAAAATTAGATTTTTTATTGGACATAGTTGCCATTGAGCGCATTACACCGATTATAACGAATCTTCCGAATTTTGTAATATAATTTTTATAGAAAGACTTGACTTTTGCTTCTAAGAGGCGTCAGACTCGCCCATTTTCTCTTCGTTGTCACTAAATTTGTTTCCACCGAGAATTATCTTGGGTTACGAGAACTGGAAAATGCTATTGGCGGCTAGATCCGGAAAACACGCTCAATACGGAGGAAATTAGAAGCTCAGTTTATACAATTTTGCTATCGTTCTCATTGGTTTGTGAGACGGTGCCCATTTTTTACGATCTCGTTCTTTAAACGTTTCAAATACGTTAAAATTTCAATAACGAACCAGTTTTTCGCCTTTAGTAGAATTATACACATTATGCATATCTTTTTTGAAGGTTCGTTCTAACTACATATAACATAGTGAAATAGAACTATAAGTTCAATATATGGCGATTATAATAACCTGCGACCAATCCGTTTCCACGCCACTCCGGTTTGTACAACCAGAACGGACCCGGGTTTTCATCGGGCTGAAGATTGCCAGTTCGGCAACTCGGAAGTAGGACTGTATGTTTACCTAGAAAACATATGACGAATATAACCAAAATGAACAAATGGACTCGGATTTTTATCCGGCCAAAGATGATCAGTTCGACGGCACTCATCGGGAAGTTTTTTTTTTTTATAACTATAACAAAAACAGCAAGGTAGAGCAAATGGCATTCCATAATTTCGCCTACCATCAAAGTTACATGCCTCGCATATCCAATAGTCTTAATTCAATTTGTGTAATTGTCTAATATACGCCTTCAACCGAATTGTTTCAATTTTCTATCTTGTTTAATTTTAACAATGATTTTTCGGATGTGCGATAATTCCAAAAAATATATCGGATTGATTTCTTAGAGCACAGCCTTTCACCGATCATATCTACACAACTTTAGATCGATTTGCAGACAAATTTTGTAGAATTTCGTCATAAAAAGTTTTGAAATTTCAAAATCCAAATTTTGAAAAAATTTTTTGGAACCAACACCAAAAAATGTATATAGCTTCATTATAGATCTTGGATCTACAGATTTTGTAAAAACTTTCCATACCAAATCGATCTACACAGTTGCATATCTTACTCAGAGACATATCACATAAGTTATATATATTTTCACATGCCAAGATATCGATTTTATTTTTTATTTGGTGCGTGAAGTAATGATTTTTCGCGCTAGCAAGTAAATGTATATTTTTATGCTAGTATTAATAATATTTCAGTATGTATGAAACGTTTACGCTAATGATCTACGATTTGTATGTATGTAATTTGTATATGTAAACTAGAAGATTGCAAAGTTCGTTTATAAAGTCTTGAAGCAAAAATTGTGCGTTTCCGACGATCATTATGCAAACGAGTACCTAACTACTCGCTCGACATTACTAGCGAGTACTATCGTAATATCGTAAGTATTGCGACGAATATCGTAAAATTTCTGATTAATATCGTAAATTATAATTTCGTTCAACGCTTTTAAAGTGCTCGTAATACTACCTCCACCCACATATATACATCAACTTGCTGTCATAATAAGCTTGCGTAAATCCGATTTAGGGCCAAGCGAAATTGATGCCGGTCATTTGGTAAAATTTGTTGTTGAATGGTCGATAGAATTCGCGCAAACGTTCGATGGCAGCTTCCTCTATGTGCGGATGATTGCGTCCTTTCGTCTTTCCCAAACAATGTGGCGTGGACCGCGCTTCCGACTTGAATAGGCAGGGGAAACCTTTGGTAGCGTTAAAGTAAAAATGTTTCTCAGTCACGACACGTTTAAGACCTAAAAAGTCTTGTACACGTCCAATCTCGTAGGCAGGATCCATAATAAGTCGTTCGCCGCTTATGAAGAGCAATTGTGAGAGCGGAAAGTATTTCAACCACTTCTCGAGATAACGCGAGTAGACACCTATTTTGACTGGTCCCCAAGCGGTGTCCACGACAGCGAACGAGCCATTGACGAAGGCTAAATCTTCGAAACGTTTCATATCCGATTTCTTGCTGGCCGCTTGCGTGTAGTCGGATATGGCTCGTGTCACAGGATCGCGCACGACAATTAGCAGCCTGTATGTAAAGTGTAGAATGTAAAGAATTTATATAATGTAATAAAAAGCGAAACAAAACCTCAAATGCTTCGGTGTATTGAACACTTTTAAAGTAATGACTCTTAGTTACTGAAATAATTGCGATTGACATTAAATTACCCTGGGATGCGCTTCATAGCTTAAATGAATGGAATGAGAATCTCAAAAGAGTTGGAGATGGATCCTCCATTCCATATAAGACAGCATCAAAATTATGATTTCTATAAAGGATTTTTCAACGTCTAAAGATGTTTTGAATAACATCGAAATAGCTATTACACCAAAGATTTGGCCGAGACTACCAAAAGTTTGGAATAATACAAGTAATATTGTAAAAGTAGTAGTCTGGTATGATAAGACGCCTGTGTTTTAAGATCATGGTTTCCAGAATCGCACACATCATAGTATGTGTACCTGTATTTTCAGGTTTTTAATCAAACTACTTATAAGAAGTTTGATTAGATTAAAAACCTGAAAATACACCGACGAATACTATGATGTGTGCGATTCTGGAAACCGACTCTATCCTTTGACAAAAGGCCAATGTCTTCGAAGGTTTTCCGGTTGGGACATCCACAACGGGTAATCCGTTTCACATGTATCAAAACAAATATTACTAGCGGTCCTGTCGTTTTCTGTCTTCAAAATTATAGTTTTTAGCACCAACTTTAACGGCAGACATTTTGGCTCTCATTCTGTAGGCGGCAGGTTCTTTTGCAAAAACTATTTGAGACTGTGCTCGTTATCGGGCGAAATGGCGAGAATCGGGTTACAAAATTGTGTGATTTAGGAGCGCTCGTCTTTCTCCTTATGGATTTTTTAAAGCCGCAAGACTTTATCAGAAAGTTGCTGAGCACAATAAGCCTTGACTTAGCTGTGGTCAATTATGATCCTCATTAATCCTAGATATTAGCATACGCAACTCAAGTTGTCACTGGACGGAGGTATGTTAATGGCGGGTATTTTCAAAGAGATATGGAGAAATCGAGGTGAATATAGTACTTGAGGTTATATCAGGAATTAGTCACTCAAACAAGTTGATTATTCTATTTTAAAAACTTTCCGCCCCTCATTAATACTAATTCCACTAGTACTATGACTTATGGTGTGGTTTAACGGCTTTGCACTAAAGCTAAGAAAAGCTAACCCGGAAATTTTCCATCGCTGTGCCCTTTAACTTACTTTGTCGCCGCATTCATTTGATGCACCCGCTGCGGCACTTCTTTTGTTACAAAATAGCTTGGCGTCTTCTCCATTGTTATTTGACCCTCAATGGTGTAGGGCATGTGGTGGCGATACCAGCGCAAACCGCGCTGATAGTGACGATCAAAAAAGTGCACCTCACAGCCAGCGGCGCGTACATCCGGATGAAGACGTATGAATTCAAGTAGCGCGCGTGTGCCACTCTTCTTCACGCCTATGATGAGCGTGTCGGGCAGATGACGCGACGGATGCAAACCTTGTTGACGTAGGAAACGATATTTCGGTGAACCGTCGGCAGCTTCCTGTAGCGGATTGCTCGCATTATTGTTAGTGTTGTTATTTGAGCCACTTAATGGCACAATATGTACAACGGATGAACCGTGATTTCTTAAACTTAAAGCTTCCGGTGTGTATTTCGATGCCACTCCGACATTAGCGCTGCCATTTGCAGTGTCTAGTTTCGTAGGTGGCTGCGTTGCAGATGTAACGGTGAGTTCGTCATCGGAGAAGAGTAGGCCGCGCAATGGATTCTGTTAGGGAGATGTAAATTTTTTTGGTTATTAGTCAATATAAGATGATTTGAAGCTGACTTCTAACTGGTGTACAACGAGATACATTTTTATTTGTATAGGGTGGCCCATAAGCTGTTTTTAATCTAATATTATTTCTAGAAAATTAAAATTTTTCTCGCTGAAATTTCTTACAAGCAGACAGTATGATATATTCGTAATAGGAGTTAATTTACAGTTACATTTGTTAAAAAACGAAAGGCATACTTTCCATAAAAAATTAATGCAAGTTGGTATTCGAAAACCCGCCTGTAATCGTCAAGAAGCCAGAAAGAGTGACAGCTTAATACGGTTGTGGAAGCAGAAACTTTATTGGTATATTTTTCTGTGAAAATGCTACCTGGAATGATCATTTCGACTATGGTTCAGCTTTATAAAAGCAAGAAAATCGAATTTTTGAGGTCAAAAATTATCTGCAGGACCACTATACAACACGAATTCCGTGAAACTCGATCTTTTACGCAAATTTTGGTAATTATGTTTTCGCCCTTCCGACATTGCTTTTGGCCAAATAGGAGTTGTGACTTGACATTGTTGTATTCTTTTTTTATTTTAAGACCAATTTGGGAGGCAGAATACTAAGTCGTCAAAGGCTTCGTTATAAGGTTGGTCTTCAAAAGAGCATGTTCTTCAATTAAGACACCCAGAAGAATGAAAGTGTGTTGCATTACTAATTGGAATGTTTAACCTTTGAATTACTTGCAAAGAAAAACAACAGGCAGAAGAAAGCGTGGTGACCCTATAATATATATATATATATATATATATATATACTAGTTCGTGTACATACGATAAAACTTTCGGAGAAATTGTTCAGTCCAGACCACTATATTATATAGCTGCCATACAGACTCAACGATTGAAATCAAGCTCTTGTATGGTAAACTTTTTATTTGACAGGGTAACTTCACGAAATTTGGCACAGATTATTGTCCAAAGCAACGGTACAATCTCCAAAGAAATTGTTCAGATCGGACCACTATAGCATATAGCTGTCATACACACTGACCGATCAAAATTATGTTCTTCTTTTTACTTGCTTCACTTTCAAAAGCCGGTCACTATATGAACCACCCTTATGTGTGTGAAGCATCTGCAGCTTAGCTGGATTACAGTCAATTAAATGTAAGAAATCTCCTAAGTATGCAAGATATTTACAATTATAGATCGCTAACCACGCACCTTTTGGAATGTTCGACTAATGCTTGTTAATAGGCACGAATTAAATGTATATGATACATATATTAGGGATATGCAAATTAGCAGTGTTATCGCCAAACTGCGATTACTGAGATTGTTGAACCAGTTCATGACAAACATACTGCTGCGGCGCTGCCCTCGTTGCTTGTTTTCTCCATCCAAATCACACAAAATGCACAAATTCGGTCGATTTGACGATATTAAATGCGCTCCGAACAACTACCGTTATAGTATACGCATCACAACTTGTTCAATTTAACTATTGCCACTACATTTTGTTAAAAATCGCTGATTTTCAACAGTCACTACATTGCTGTGTTGCTAGAATAATTGCACAATTGCACTAATTTGACGAAGAGGAAAATTTCCAAAATTTCCTGCAACGATTTCCCATCGAAAAGGGTTGATTTCGCACAGCTCGGCTTAATGGTGTGTATGGTGTGTGTGTGTGAGTGATTGAGTGTTAAGGCGAATGAGGGCAATTTACAAATCTATCCACATATAGTATATATACATACATATGTATATATCGATAAAGAAATCAAGTCAAACATTTCTATAAGGTGTGTATGTGTGTGTGTTGATGTGGGCGCAATAAATGTCAAATATCCGCCATGAAAGCGGCAAGGCATGTTTGCTTGCCTTCCAAACTTCACGTAATTTGCCAAATGATAAAAACGAATGAAGCGCAAAAACATAGCATGAAGAGAAGAGCGGCAGCATACATGAACAGAAGCCGCTACAAAAGCGCTCCAAAAGTAAATGTCAAAAAGCACAACTGACAGCTTGCTGCTGCGGCTGGGGGTTGAATATTGACAGCGAAAAAGAGTGGTAGCTGAAATCTAACAAAACAGCAAGTATTTTCCAGTAACCACATACACATTCACAGACCATTCAAATCCTACATTGCGCTCTGTACGCCTGCCGATTATGTCAAAGTTCGACAAAAATGCGCTCTCGCAGTGTCGAAGTTCGCTTCTGCCGCCCGAAGTTGGCAGCTTGTTACCGTAAATATTGGTAGCGGAAGTTGAAGGGTGAAATGCTGTTATCAACCCTAAGAGCGTTCGAACCGGCAGTTTCATTCATGAAATTCGGCGTCTTCTTTGCCGAATTATTTGTACTTGCGCAGTTCGTATTCCGCTCGGCGCAAATCGCTGTTGGTTCGTGATTATACGGAGCGCATGAGTTGCTTTGGCTAACTGCAATTTGTTTCCACAGTGTGTTTATAACATAATAAACTGGTATAATTGGAAAATATTTGCGTGCCGCTTAATCCAACAAGATGTCTGTTAAACGGCGCAGCTATATCAGATTTCTAATTTAGCGTACTCTTAATTTTAATTTTTTTGTACTGGTAGCGAAAAGTACTAAGTACCTACCTTAAACTAATGTGAACAGAACTTTTTTCAATTTTTGTAAAGCGACGATCACTGTTTTACTCTGTTTGCTCCAGATTTCAACCCTGGTAGAGGCAGGATTTCGTCGCTTTGTGTTGGAATTCTTCAATTCTTACTTAACTTATTGAAATTTATTTTTTTCTTACCAATGACCGCTTTTCTGCGCGTATACTTTGAATTTCCGCCTCCTTGAGTTGGATTGTCTCTCACGTCTTCTAGTTCCTTGAAGTCTAACGCTGTTTTGGTAATGTCGTCCTGGGATTTTCGCAAAGTATTACCGATTCAATTCCTTTAACGGCGTCGAGTTTCTATATCGACAGGTAGTTCTTTGGTTGTGGTGCAGGGATTAGCATTGCTATAAACACTTGGCCAGCATAATCTTTCGAAGATATCGGTTGAAAAAAGATTGCAGGCAACGGACTTTACACTTGAATTGAATATTTTTATCTTCGTACGTCTGAATAATTCATAGTTTGCTTAAGATTTAAGTTACAAAGCATTATCATCTGGCAAGGTACACTTGAGTTGTGTTTCAATTTGGATTCAATTTTTGTACAGTTAGGTTCGACTGGGCGAATTCAAAATAGTCGGCGCCAGCGCAAATCAATGCAAGCTGGGTAGTTTTCTTTATTGATCTTCTAAAGGTGTAGTGCTTGTTTTAATGGAGCCAAATTGAAATGCTGTAATGCGAACCAAATAGTATTCTGTCTTAATGCTCCTGAAAAGACATCTTGTGGCTAAAATTATCAGCTCTACCTCTGCCAAAAGCTTCTAACTCCAGTTATAGAATGCATGTCGCTGGTTCTTACCATTGAAACTTAGCAGAGCATATGGTTTACGGTATACCTTGGTCTACAACGTATAGAATGGTGACAAGAATATTCCGTGATTCGGCAAACTGTGTAGATTTTTTTCGATATCCATCGCCTGGAATTTGGTCTACAAATTTGTAAGGTTTATTGTCTCAAAGCTGCCAGCAACTTCCATCCAGATCAGTTTGAATAACCTTATTCTTCTATAAAGTAACTATTTTGCGTGAAGTGAAACTCTCACATAACTCTCCAATCACATTATTGTCTCTAATCAAAGATAACTTCTGTAGCACAACACTTTTTATCTCAACGTGTAAGATACCTAGCAATTTAAAGAATGTGTCATCGATGCAAGAATTCGGAGATAGCGTAGTACTTAAATCAATCGTTTCGAAAGCTTACAAGCGCGCAGATGTAGAAAGAAAACAAAGTGATCAGTGATTGTAGTATTCTCACACCGAAATGTACCATTTTCCAGATATTTTGGGTAAACTAAAACAGAAAATTTGTGAACATATTTTCTTCATTCAGTACAATTATTTTCTACAGTTTTCCTGTGTTTATTCGCGAGTGGTTGCTTCTTCGGCTATTACTGCAAACATGCTTACGTCTACGATAACCTGTGGGTGCATTGGCACGCCTTGCTTGGGGGCGTTGTAGCTGTGGCTTTGGCAGGCGGCTTAACATTGCGCAAATATTTAAAACGCCAGCACAGTTATGATCACTTCTATGTGATTTTCTACGGCCTGATATGCTACCTTATCAGTTGTTGCTTCATGCTGACGGGCAACTTAAGTACGTACAAGTAATTAACATAAAAGCAAAAACAACGCGACGCTACTATATGTTCAAAACTGTTTTGTTTCCAGATATTTGCTTTTACTTCGGCTTCATCGGCATTGGCACTACGCTCATTCCCTGCTATAGCTATATTAGTTTGCGTAGCTCGTCGCGTGGCCTGCGTCCGGCGCGTATAGCTTTTGGGAACGCACTGTATTGCGCCGGCTTTACGGTGGGCTTTAGCGTATTCAACGAGTTCGAACCGATCTATTGCGGTTGGATCTATTTAGGTATTTCGCTCTTTATGCTCGCCGGTGTTGTGATGAATGAGGTGCTACAACATATGGGTGTACATAATTATAAGGTTTCTTTCGATTTGGCATTCAATTTACTGAATGAGGAGAAACTTGTGTTCCTGCCGAATAAATCGATATATGCGCTTTTTGTGGGTCGTGATGACTACTACGTGAAGCGCAATCGCCAATGGTTGGTTGTGGGCGTCGCCGCGGTCTTGGTGTTGGAGCGCGCGCTGCTATACTCTTCATCGTATCTGCAGTTGGCTTGGAGCTCTACTTTTGCGTATATGGCAACGCAGCATTTGTATGGATCATATCTGCTCTACACGCTCGGTTGTACGTTGGGTTGCGCTTTAATGGCGCGTTACAAGTCAAAATTGTTGTACCTAATGTTTGGCGTCATCAAAATTACGGCCCTCTCCGCGTTAATGGGTGTTTACGTCGAAAATTCCACAGAGCAATGCTTCTATTTTCTGTGCTTCTACTATACCTGCATCGGCGTGTATTCTAGTGTTGCTTTTCAGCTTGTGCTCGAATGTACGCCCTTGCTTTATACAGAGTTAGCTCTCGCTGTCGCCTATGATATAGAACTGCTGGTTTTGGAAGTCTTAAAGTACGAAACGTTGGCAGATGACAATTGGCAAGAGTTGCTAAGGATCGGCATATTCAGTATACTATTGACTGCTGTCTGTATTGCTCTTGTGTGTATTTTTGTACCTCGCTCACGTGGTCTCATTGAGATGCGCAATAAACTAATGGGTGTGAGAAAGCGGCAACCATCGACGCCAGCACAAACTAAGCTATGGAATACTAATTATTTTATATACCACAATCTACAACCGGACGATGTGCGTTGTGTGAAGTTGGACGGCAACCGTGTGTTTCAGCAGTACCCGAAAGAATCAGAGGCGAGCGAGGAGCTGCCTAAGATAGGTGAGCGCCTTGCGAGTATTTGTTCAGGAAAGGGAAGTTTCTACTGAGGAAAATCTGTTGTTATTAAACGCTCCCAAAAAATTTCAAAATTATCATATTTTTACGATTATTACCAAAATCTAAGCTATAATAAAAAATAATAAAAATTGACTAATAAAAAGATGTATGTATTGGTTTTTTCGAGTTTTCTCAAGCAGTTTGATTTCGATTGGCAGAACCGACCCATGAGCATCGCTCAGAAACTGTGGTACGATCGGGCTGAAAACAAAGAGTGTGGTGTAGAAACTCCAGCCTATTTGTTTCAAAGGAATAGCGCAGAAGGACTGAAACTGAATATTAGCTCGCGTGGTGTGATCCACAGCCGCAGCCATTAGATTCATTGGGCTTAGTTTTATGTGATTTTTTTTCTTTCTAAAACTGATGACAAAAAACTCACTATACAAACTACCTACTTTAGTTCAAAAATCATGTTGTGTAAGTAGCTTTGACGAGTCAAGTATTTCTCTCAGATATCGAGTATTCATCTTCGATGCCAGACTTTTCTTCCGTCTACAAAGGTTAATTATATGTCGCTTGTACTATAGACATTACTCATAAATAATTGAGAATGTGTGAGTTTAGTGAATAGCTACCAAATTTGGACCAAATAAATAACTCATTTTCTGCCTTATAAATATTCCATCTCCCAATTTTTACATCTGAGTACCTTACAAAATAAAAGATTTATGAAAATGCAGGCATTTTGGAAGATCTGTTATAGAACTATCAAGTTCTTAGATTTGATGGAATAGTTCAATGACCTAAGGATAAAATATAATATATTAAAATTATGAAAATTAGACTTTGCACATTCCTATTTACTCTTTATAACAGAGTAAACGACATAATTATAGGTTTGGAATTTCCTTTCGAACAAGTATTCCCATACGAAAATGATTCATGGACTTTTAAAGCTTTCACAGCTATAGAAAGATTTCAGATAAGACAAAATTTATATGACAAATATCATTTTTGTTTTTGGTGTCATTTGCATAAAGTAAATTCTTTCTACAAGTATTAGGGTGTGATTCCCGAGCCACATCACTGCTACCTACACTGATATATAGAAGAGATTATAGCGAATAAACATAGGTCTTTCGGTAATTATTGATGAACGTACAGCCCCGTGCAACTAATTACTAAAAACTTCAATAAAGCAAAACGGAAATACGGAATAAAATGGAACGGGTAAAATCCACCTTACAATTGGTAATGCAGATAAAGTTGTATTTCAATATATGGATATCCGAAATATATTAGTAGGAGTACGAAAGACACTAAATAATTTGCCTCGCTATTGCAATTATTATAAAATTGTAGGACAGCTGTGCGAGAGATACTAGTATACCTGTCCTAAAAGTTACTAATCTTGAGGGTCCCAATTGTTCTCTAAACGTATGAGGTGATTTTGACAGCTCGTGGCGGCCATGTTTATTTACGGATTTGTGTCAGTTTGTTCAGTAAGGTTTGCCATTTCAACGCTTGGAAATTGCCCAAGATTATTACGCAAATTAACGTTCTCCGGTGGCTGCGGTGAGAGCTCTTCGCGCAAAACACGAAGAAGAGTTCCAAGTATTTGACAAAAGCAGTGCGCAACGAAATTTCAAGGAATGACACAAATACTTTTGAATAACGTGCAACTAAAGTTTGTTTGCTACATTTGTTATAAAGTCGAAATATTTGCATTTAAAACGTTAATCATAAAATCATGATATTTTATTATGAGTTGTATTTTTTATTTGATATAGTTTATTTTATTATTTTATAGGATTTTTAAAAATTTTATAATATTAATACAAGGTCTACTCGGAACCGAGAACCTTAAAGTAATATCGAAATGCAAAATGTCCAAAAGTTATTTTTAAAATACCCTATCCATTTTCTCTCGACAGTGGCATGATTGACAAATGTTATAAAAATGTGGATTTTGACAGCTCTCTCTCTCTCGAATCAAAGAGTTTCGTATCATGTCATCTATGCTTTTACAAGTGATCTCAGCTGCGACACGACGAACGCAGACCAACTCGAAGCGTATGAGATCGTAGAAGATAATTGTAGGTCAGATATCGCGTTCGAAAAATTTGTAAGCATTAGACCTTTGCTTTTTAAAACCCTCTAATTTTCGAAAGTATCTACTTTACTTATCTTCTAAAGTGTAACCGCTCAGTTTAACCAGCTCAATCAGTTTATCTTTAAACGCGTTTTTCTCGAATCTTCGTTTTTCTAATTGGCTGCAGTTATAACTCGAAACCAAAACATATGTTCGCTTTGATTTTTATCTGCTTCTTTTGTATATATTTCTCTGCAGAATGACCCTCCAGTTTTTCGATTGTATGAAAAATGTAGTTACGGATCAGTCAACGCCTTTTTGAAAAAATTTTAGATTTTTTTCGTATTAATTTTCAAATCGTGGGTCAATGTATAGGCAATACCTTACAGATGATTAATCTTTTTTATTTTTTGTCTTGAGCGCCGTAAAGACCTCTGTCACTGTAGCAGAATAACACGCTAAATTAAATTTTTATACCCTGAACACCTAAAAGCAAACGTCGCCTATAAAATGTATATATAAATGAACAGCATGACGAGCTGAGTCGATTTAGTCATGTCCGTCTGTCTGTATATACGCGAACTAGTCGCTCAATTTTTAAAAATCGATCTGAAATTCTTTGTGCTTCCTTTCCCTCCAAAATGCCGTTCATTTGTCGGAACTGCCGATATCGGACCGCTATGGCATATAGCTGCCATACAAATCGAACAATCAAAATCAAGTTCTTGTATAGAAGACTTTTTTTTAATTATATAGGGATTTCTAACTTCGGTGCAGCCGTTGCATAGTTTTCTTGTTTTTTTAATTTTGTTGTGTCTATTCAGGTATTATGTACCATATCTCTTCCATGCAATAGTTTTCCCTAAAAAAAATCCCCTAACATCACTTTGTTTTTAGGCGGTCTCGCTAGGTGTGTTCCCAAAATTTATCAAAGCATTTATTTAAGGTGTTGCAAACAACTCTATACAATATTTGTGGCTCCTAATTAGCTGCACGTTGCTGTATATATGAACTGTTTGATTTATGGTTTTATTATCTATGTTAACTACCTGCCCGATTACTTGTTGATGGCACTGTATTTCCTATCCATATGATTAATAAGTAGTTGAACTCATTTGTTTGTATTGACAGTGATATTTATTCTTACAGCCTGGAAATAAAAAGTAATTAATTAGATTTTTGAATAATCAAAACGATAAAGAAGCACCAATAAATAACTGAGAAAAACATGAAAAATGTGAGGCATATCAAAAAAAACTTTGTTTTTTAAGTTGGCTATGCTCAGCTGGATGCTCGACGCCCAAGCGAGTATGCCAAATTCCGCTGCTTTATGCGGGCCCACATGCTCACTAAGAAATCTTATCTTATCGCGATTGGTAACGGACTTTATCAAAATTTTTCAAGGCAAAAACAAAAGGTTAGACGCAAAAATGAGTTAGCACGAACCAGGCCCATACTGAGCGTGTTGCAACTCAGTGCGGGTCGTCACATTGCGAGAGACAATTCATTGTAACGGCACTTGTGTAACGTGGTCATTGTACCGAGGCGTGCGAATTTGTACGGGTTCGGCGGGAAGTTTTTAGATAGATATTCTAACTGTAATTTAGTGCTGCTATACGTTGAACTTACGCTGCATTTTATTTAAGTTTTATTTTGTGTTTCGTGCTACTGAGACCCCGTATCTGAACTTGTTGAGAACTGAGCGGTGTGGAATGGCGAATAAAATTTCAAATTTGTGGGAGAATTTCGTCAACAAATTCTTCCTCTTCGCACCGACCTTTGTGGGTACGTTGCAATGTAGAAACAAAGTGAAAAATTTTATGGAATTACAACAAAAAAAAGAAAACGAAAATAAAATAACTAAATAAAAGTTCGAATTTAATTTTTTAGTGTGTTTAACCTTCCTGCCATGCGGACTCATATTCGGCTATACGATATGCTCGTTAATCGCAGAACGGAATGTCAATGCCGGACTCATCGAGTATGGTCCAATGATATTTGGCGGTTGCACTGGCTTCGTCATTGCGCTTATCATGTTTTTGGTTAAATTCTTCAAGGGGCGCATTATATTTTGGCATATCCCGATTCTGTTGTGCGCGGGCGTTAGTAATTTGCTGGCAAGCTGTTTCTACTTTGCTAATGACATGGGTAAGTGTTTTGAGGCAAGCGCTGACTCATATGAAAATTATATAAGTATGTACATTTGGATCTGTGTGTGTGGGGTCAATATGGCGGTAAAACTATGATTTATGTTTTGAGGTCTAACAATGTGGAATTTACAAATATTTTCACTACCATACTGAGCACATATATGTATATGTCGTTATTAAACTACTCGCATTTAGCAGTTAATTTTTCGTTATCGGCGCAGTTGGCCTTACTAGATTTGGACAAATTGTTCTGCTATTTCTATAATAAGGTACATTCCGAACATTGTACTTACAGTAAGACTATAAATACTACATTTAATCCATGAATGAGAGAGCACAGCTGTGCCGTTTGCCGTATCACAGTCAAAAAACGTGATAATAAATAGAGTAAAAATACAAGACACAATTGCTTATCTTCAAGGAGAGATATATCATACTTTTGACAAATTTTCTACCGATTGTTTTAGTTATAAACAGAAATAATAATTATTTTATTCGTTATAACAAATATAAAAATAATTAAAGAAAGTTTGGAAAACTATATTTTTAGTAGCTGATAGTTTCTTCGGAAAAAAATTCAAAATTTTGAGATAGTTAACTGAAGACTTGGTACTTAGATAGCATATTGTCTTCTCTTTTACTGAGTTTGTAGCTGTGTTCCGTATATTTTAAGGGGGAAATAAGGTTAGTCATAAGCATTTAGTAAACTATTCTATATATGCATATGTTCTCAAAATTTTAAATGAAAATACAGATTCCTTCTATTCTTATAATCCATTAAAGTGGGTTACTCAACCTGAGGAACTTCAGGTCCTATTTTTATAGCCTGAAAATAGTATATTCCGTTTGACACGAAGTTTGTAAAACCCATAGGGAAACGTCGCAGATAAAAAATATATATAAATGATCAGCGTGACGAGCTGAGTCGATTTGGCCATGTCCGTCTGTCTGTCTGTCCATCTGTATAGACGCAAACTAGTCCCTCAGTTTTTGAGATCCCGTATTGATATGAAATTTTGCACATATCCTTTTCTCACCAAGAAGCTGTCGAAATCGCCGATAGCGGACCACAATAGGATATAGCTGCCTTATAAACTGATCGATTAATTAATTTAATGTCAAAATCAAAATAAGGATATAAAAATGAACCTGCGAAGGGTATTATAGCTTAGGTACAGATGAAGTTAACGGTTTGTCTTGTTTCAAAATTTTTCTAAAAATTAATGTTTTAGAGTATTAAAAATTAGATTATTGATTTAAGTCAACAGAGAAAGAAGTTTTGAGCGGCTTAATTATTTGAGAGTGAATCAGTTCTAACATAAATGAAATAAATATGTAAATCGACCTGCTCCTAGACCTAACTAATCGGTCTACACAAATTATTTCACACGTCTATTTATCGGTTTTGTAATGGAAGTGAGATTTAACCTGCTGTTCAAAGTAGAAATAATGGCAAATTGCCCAACTATATTTATTATTTTAATAATTTGTTCATAAGTAAAAGCAAAACTGCATTTATGCAGCTTTTTATTTCCATAAAAATTTGTTCCAGGTGTTCGAGAAAAAAATTTTAGAAATATTTAGGCATGATTTCTTCAATTTAATTTTTATTAAAAATTGTAAGTTTAAATTAATTACCGTTATTTTGAGGAAACTTCATGTTTAGTCCAACATATACAACAGTTATGGATCACCCTGTATGCTCAGTGAAGGTGTCTAGTTGCACCAATTTGGGGATTTTTCTTATCACTAAACCGATTGTTTGTAACTAATAGACATATAAAGACATAAATGGTAATTCAGAAGACAGTGGTGGCCAAACTATTTATTAATTAATAACAAATTTATAAGAATAATATCAAAATAGCTTAAGATTATTATTTGACTGGAGCGGTTAAGCAAATAATAAATGAAACAGCTTGATTCAATGACTTTGCATCGAAAGTTATTATAGGCTAAGCAAAATTGAAGAAACAATAAATTTAAAACTTCTGTGTCAGAAAGGTACTAAGTAGCGAATATTACATGGGAAAGCGTTCATGGGAAAGCGTTCAAGTCTGTTCATCACATACAAGTACGATCGCCGCTATTCTTATAAAATATATTGTCAAAGTCAATGCGGATCCCTAAAGGCCCATTCACAAAATACTTTCCTCGCTTTCAGTGTTTCTCTCTTATAATTGTTGCTGGGCAAAGCGTAAAAAGATGAGAGTTGCGCAACATTTTGCTTGGCTTCGCATCGAAAACTTTTTATGCGAACGTACTCATACAAAAGCGTGCATCGAACTTTTCTGTCAAAACAAATGTCTGGCGCAAAGCGAAGCAAAAGTTCTATGGGAATTGCCCATAATAGACATTATTCCTCATAATAAAATAGAACGCCTTTTATTGCCGATATTAACATTTATAGATTTTACAGGTAGTAGGTATTACCGATCTAAGGTACAGTATTGTAAATAATTTATGATTAGGATAATGAATTATCTATTGTTTATAGTATATGTCAATGCAAATGTTATGTTTAAAGTGTCGAATTTATAACTGACATCACGTAGTTACATATCTGTGTGTAATTTGATACATTTTCAATATAATTTTAATTGTTCCAAAGTCTTTCATCATATGGCACAATGGTAATCAAATCGATTACTTAAATAAATTCTTCATTGATTTTAGATGACTGACTTGTTACTCTATAAACTTAAGTTTTTTTACATATGTATATATTTGAGCAAAGTATTAAATTTTTTTATACATATACATACATACATAGATAACAGTAAATTTATATTGATTATTATGACCAAAGCAATGGGTATGGGCAAAATTAAGTCATAGCCAATACAATATAACTGAACAAAAACTTTAGACTGATATCAGCTGAATGATAAGATAGTTCTTAATATTGACAACGTTCAGATGTTTTAAAAAGTTAAAATAGTTATTTACAATACATACTAATGTACGTATATGAAAATGTCAAAATTTCGCGAATAAAGTTGTTATTTCGTTATAAAAATTATATGCTGTTCATGAGTATATATATACATATGTATGTAGTTGTGTATTTGCTTGTATATATGTATGCACGCTCATGCATGAATAATCGGCGATGATACAGAAGAGCTTTTTAAGAGCCTGTATCAAAATTGAACAATGGGTGTGGCAACGCACACCTTTAGGTGAAATTCTATATCGAAGGAACTAATCAACTAACTTCTTAATTTTCTTACCAAATTTGGAATTATGGAAGTAAATTCTTGAGCAAATATTGCATATGAGTGCTTCATACTTGTATGCCGAACATGTGGGCCTGAGTGCCTATAAATGATTATATATTTTATGAAAAAAGCGCTATGATTGAGGTAATTATTGAAATTCAGAGAGAATCTTTTTTTGATAATACTGTGTCCTTGAATCAAAAGTGCTTAAAATCGGGTCAATTCTTACATTAGCCCCATATACCCAATATAAAGAATTTCGAACTTCCGGTTGACTTTATACTGTAATTACAACATGTGAGATATCTCAAGGAAATTCAAAGAGCGTCTTTTTCTAATACACTTTGTGTCCTTGTGCCTAAAATTTATAAAATCTGGTCATAGGCCCAATATACCTTATATAAGCATTTTAAACATCCGATTGAAGTGAACGAATATCAGATAAACTATATATATAATATTAGATATACTATATATAGTTTAATGCAGGAAATGTGCGATATCGATTTATAAATTATTGCATTGTTTTTGTTATATTTGATAGGATAGGTTCTAAACTTGTCCATTTCTGCAGACCAAACTAGTGACGGATCAGATTTCTTAGTACAGTGCACAACTATAATAATTATTGTTGTTGTTGTAGTGGTAAAAAATATTACATAAGCAATTTTAGGAAATACTGGCGAATTGATAGCCTTTGGCCAGAAGACAGAGCTTTGGCCGCATAAAAATTCGGATCCGTAGACGCGACTGTCATGGTAACGGAATGAACTGCTCTTTCTTAGCTACTACTATCCAGACTTTTAATTAATTCTATTTAACTGTGTTTTTCTATATTTTATCAATACAATTTCTCAAACTTTTATTTTTGCGTCTCCTTTTAGACATTGCTGGCGCCTTCATCTCCTACTTCGCGTATAGCTTGAACTACATAGCTGGCTTGAGCTTCCTGCACACAACCCTACATAAACGCAGTCGTTCCATAATGCTCGCATTGGCATTTTGCATCTTTCTACTTGGCACAGCCGCGGCGATAAGCCTTATTGGTACTAGCTACACGAAGCCGGACGACACAGTCAATACAACCGTTAATGAAGTACCGGATGGACTCTATGTGGGTTTTGCTGGTCTCTACTTAACTATTTCGGTTGTGATTTTAAGCGTACTCATCGGTTTGAAAGTGATGGATTTTTATGGCATTGTCGATTGTCAGAATATTTTGGATAATGAATTTCGCATTGCCAACTCGAATGGCAGCATATTTGATAAGCGTAAGGATATCATTAAGCGTGTCAAGTTTCTTTATGTCACTAAAAATCAACAATGGAACGTCACCCTGGTGGTGCTCTTCACCGAGGCGATACAGTATGCGCTTTTTGTATACTATATTTTCTGGTTTGTTATGAATCAGGGCATACGCCTAACGCCGGTGGACAATGTGGACGCAATGTTGTGGGTGGTGTTCGCCGGTTCGGCTGTATGTGTGTTGGCCATGGTTTTCTTTAGTGTAAAAGTAACGTTTGTAGTAAATGAGATTTGTCTTATAATTTTAACAATCCTGAGCATGATCATATGTTCATCGGTGGATACGAAAATACCGCTTTGGTTCATACTATTTTTCTTTGGTATATCATTTTGTAATTTGCAAATTTCCATTGTGGAAGTTTCACATTTTCGCTATACGGAGTTGCTTTTCTTCGTGTCGTATTTGGCGAAGTTAGTTAGTACCAGCATGGTGTATTATTATTTCGTGTCGAATTCGAAAAATTCATTTTTCTACTCAGCCGAACCGAGTACGATTATGGCACAGGGTTTTGTGTACCTCATAATCACAGCACTAGTTGCCCTCGTGGTGGGCGTTAAGGTGCCGCGTACATATTGCATGACACTGTTCGAAATACAATACGATTTGCTGGGCGTAATATTCAAACAGCACGAGATTGAGCAGCTGGATGTGACGTGTCTGCAGGATGGCTCTATCCCGACGATTAGTGCACATGCACATTATTGAGCTGTGACATACATATACATATATGTACTCGTATGTAAATATGTATAAATTAAAAATATTATATATACAATTATTTTAAAAAGTGATTTTATGTATTTATACTTAATTATTGTGTTAGACTAAGGGTACCATTTAAATAAATGTTATTTTTTTAATTAATGCTTTTACTTTTTTAAACTATTACTTAATAATTAGCTTTTACGTGTGATTTGAAAAATTTTTACAGGTGTTGTGCGATCCCAATAGAAGTTGCACTTGTCTAACGGCATCACATCCTTCTCAATATACTGGAAATCTAATGTAGCTGTAATTAATATGCATTTGGTTAAAAACTTGTTTATAACAACCGTAGAAACTACAGTATTTAAAAGTTTATACTCACAAAGCAAATTTAGAAATTTGTTTAGCGTGTGCTCGTTTCGTACTGTGACAGCAAGCAACATTTCACATTTGTCATCTCTTTTTTTGAAAACATAATTAATAGCGTTTGTAAGAGAATCGAATACAGTGTCGTCATACACTACGTCCGCAGCTAATATCACATCCGCGGAAAATCCATTTGGCCATTTCATATCGCTGACAGAACCCCATTCCAATTTACACAAATTCAATAACTTTCCTTTTATTTCATATTCACCATCATTAACTTCGCTGGCTTCTCTGAAATTTCGCAAAACATTCTCCTTCATAAGTTCTATGCATTCGTGACTACCATCAGTCAACAACATGTGCCGCACACCACAACATTGCAGCGCAATCGTGCCACACAGGCCAGTGCCAGCACCTAACTCTAACACACATTTTCCACGCAATAATTTAATATTTTGCACCAGATAGTCGGCTAATGCAATGGAAGCTTGCCAGCTGCACAAGCCAGTTGTGCCTTCTGCCACAAAGCTTTTGGATTCGCGAAGTGTTATGGAGACATCGAGAGACGGTTGCACATAGTGTTTGTAAGCATATTTTTCAGTTGTATCCTTAGCTACACGTTGTTGTACCGCACAGTAGCTCTCATACACAATATCATGCACTTCGTCACAATGTTTTTCCAGTTGTTGCAACAAGCGCTTGAGGAAATTTAGTTGATAACTAATTTTTATGGGATATTTCTTATTGAGTGGTTGTAGCGCCGTGTTTTCAATAAGCTGCTTGTGCTGTTCCCATGTAAGTCCTTTTGGTATAGCCTGGAGAATAAAATGTGATTTCAAGTGGAAATTGCATTGAGTTCATATTTAAATACCTACATCCCATTCGATGCAGTGTAATGGATAGCAGCACAGGAATTGGTACTTTAGTGTATCAATGAAACTTTCGCTCTCTTCTTTCATAATGAATTGATTACTAAATGCTTTATATTTACTAATTAGATTGGAATAATGGTGCAAAGATATAAACAATTTTTAAAATGACATGGTAAACAAAAAACAGCTGTTTCGCAGACGCCAGATATGTTATCAACACGTGTGAGCGAACAGTGTTGCATCTTTAGGAAAGGAAATATGAGAAGTTGCGTACTTTGACTGAATATTAAATCTTTTATACGAATATTTAAAAAATTTAGTCTTTTTACCGATTATTGTGTAAATATTATTGACAAATGTAGTACTTTAAGAAAATAAAATAAATAAATTTCAATACGATCATATTTAAATGATATCATTACCAACATTTTTTTTGCATGTCTGATTAAGCCTATTCATCGTACTAAACTATTCTAAATTATTCTGAAATTCTTTTTGATTTTATTGTATAAAAATTTGATTTACTCCAGGTAGGTACACATTTAAATGTAAGACGCAAGTTAACTATCATCAAAACCATCTAACGGGAGGTCCAGCATGCAATGAGGTGGTTACTATCATGCGGAGAAGTCTGTTTCTACAAAATAAATCTCGAAGAAAGAAAGATACTTGAAGGTACACTCAGGTTCAAACCGTTTCCTGAAAGCCTACCAGTTGTTGCTGGGCAGAAGATATTCCCTAAATAATTCGAATTGCTTAGTTCATAAAGTTTGATTATCATATCATCAATGGAAAGCTCTGAGTACGTGCGCAGAATTGAATCAGATCATAGTTATACAATCTCTTCTACACTGTATTATAGAAGATATAAATTAGATAACGATAAGAATCAGACGTTTCTACGCAGAACTGTGTGGTTTAGTATCAATTTCATATAACACACGATGTCCATTCCTCTCAAGATAATATTTGATTGAGTTACTTGTTGGATTTGGTGTGCCGTCGCTGTGAGCTCGAGTCTGAAAGTTTGATTCTATTTTTGAATAAGATTTGAACAAACAGTATTCCCAATGGTTTTATAATTTCGGCTATTGAATACCCAGTCAAGAAAGTTCGATATCCTTATCGTTTCATTTATAGCACCTTTCGTTTAGAGTTTTCTTTCATACATTTTAAGACTTAATGTCTATCAATAAGAAGGATGTCTAGACTCATTTAAGCAAGAAAATTTGTTATATCTTAACACTTTGATGCGAATCGCGGTCGAATCGAAGACCACATTTAGTGCATTTATTTGAAATCTCGGTTGTGTAAGTAAAATGATCGTTAAACAAGAGAGTTTTCGTGGAAGTGTTATGTGGTCTATGTATATATATATTTTTATACTCTCGCAACTTGTTGCTACAGAGTATAACAGTTTTGTTTACCTAAAACTAATCGAGTTAGATATAGGGTTATGTATATATAAATGATCAGGATGAAGGACGAATTGAAATCCGGGTGGCTGTCTGTCTGTCCGTCCGTGCAAGCTGTAACTTGAGTAAAAATTGAGATATCTTCATGAAACTTGGTACACATGTTTCTTGGTACCGTAAGACGGTTGGTATTGCAGATGGGCGTAATGGGACCACTGCCACGCCCACAAAACGCCATTAATCTAAAACAAATAAATTGCCATAACTAAGCTCCGCAATAAGATACAAGACTGTTATTTGGTACAAAGGATCACATTAGGGAGGGGCATCTGCAGTTGAACAACTTTTTAAAAAGTGGGCGTGGTCCCGCCCCTAATAAGTTTAATGTGCATATCTCCTAAACCGCTAAAGCTATAATAACCAAATTCACTGGGAGCAAATGTTTTTAGCACCTCTATTGACGGTTGACGGGTGAAATCGGGTGACAAGCCCGCCCACTCCCCATATAACGGTACTGTTAAAAAATACTAAAAGCGCGATAAACCAAGCACTAAACACGCCAGAGACATAAAATTTGATCTTTGGGATGGTATGAGATGACTTTATAGGAACCGCGTTCAAAATTAGTCAGTGGGCGTGGCATCGCCCACTTTTAGGTAAAAACCAATATCTTGGGATCTGCTTAACCGATTTCAGCCAAAATTGGTGCATAACGTTTTTTTCATATTTCTATGTTATAGTGCGAAACAATATCGGACTACAACCACGCCTATTTCTCATATAACACTATTTTCCATTCCATCTGATTCTTTCACTTTCCACTATGCATATCAAGCAACAATGATTATATCGGGGTAAAACTTTGCGTGAATAATACGTTTAAAGTATGCCACCTTGTGACCAAAAATTGTCTAAATGGAACCAAAACTGTTCAAGCCCCTAAGTACTAAATATGTGGACCCCAGTGCCTATAGTTGACCTTCTACCGAAAATATCAGTCAATCCATAAAGAAATCTCAAACGAGTATACCATTTGACTTTGCGAGAGTATAAAATGTTCGGTTACATCCGAACTTAGCCCTTCCTTACTTGTTTTTTTTTAAGTAGTCCATATCACCGCCTAAATGTGATAAAGAGTCAATATTACAAAATTACCTCAATCTAAGGCGCAGCATGACTAAGTCGAAACAGAACTAGCATTAGCCAAAAGTCTTAATTTTGATTAAACAAAGAATAAGTTCTAAGCTCAGTTTCTAGAATCTTTATTTGCATCGCTTTAAATACAGATTTCTGTATACAAAATTTTGCTTTGCCATTATTACTGGCCTGATTGTTTATATTAGGGAACAAGAAATCCCTTAGTATTAAGTTGGAGCAGCAAAATTTGCCAGTACCTTGTTTACGGACTAAGCAGTTAAGCCAAGTGAACATAGAAATATTCTGATAATGCGAAAAAAACTCAAATTGGAGGTACATATGAAAGAGCATAACTTCTGAGTATTCTTTTATCTCTATTATATCTCTCGTTAAACATACGCCACCAATATCACCATCAATCGAGTGTGTACTTAAGTAAATAGAATTGCCAAAAACGCCGTTAGCGTTGAGAAAAAACAACAAAATTTAAAAATCCAAATGATGTTGATATTTATCAATATATACATACATATGTACATGCATACATTTGAAGTGATAGCCACACAAGCTTTCGTCATTTCTTACTTGTCCCCTAAAAAAATACGAATCGATTGAGTTTTGTTTTTAAGCAAGCATAGTTTTTTGGCTTGTAGCTTAAGTGTTCCATGCAGAATTGGGTTTTTGGGTCATTCTTTAAACTCATACGTACATACAGGTTCGTCAATCTATATGTGCAAGCGTTTAATTGATTTTTATGGTCGCCTAATTGTTTACAGTTTAAATATTATATAATTGGAGTGGCGTTGTCAGTAAATTATTTGTATTCTTGTAAATATACATATGTATGTAAATAAATATATTACATACATATATATACACATATGGCATCCGTCTTATTAACAGAACTTATGTGGATGTGGATTAAGATGTCTAAATAAGGAATATTTGGAAGTTCTACTGAGATGCCTTCCACTTTGGATAAAATCCTTCTTCACGAACCGACTGGGCCACATTATTGTAATAAAATATCTATAAACTAGAAGTATTCCCAAAACTCCACTATTTATTCGAAGATTTTAAGCTCACTTCAAATTCACCTCAGATAGGCACAATCCAGTCAACTGTTAAAGTAAATTGATTGGATAGATGATTAACTCTCTCAACTTCAGGTGATACTTGTACATTTATTTATTTCTGGTTAGAATGATGAGAGATTAGAATGAAAGAAAAAATTGCAAATTTATATAAATCAGACTTAACAAGTCTTTCCGGGTCTGTATCGGAGGAATAAACCATCAATGAATCCTACATGAAAGTTCAGAAAGCACGATTTTACAAGAGCAAAAAAGATATAATATGCTGATAACATTCAATTACATATATTTTTTTAAAACTAAGTCGAATTATTCATAAAACCTTAGATATTATCTTAGGGCTTGTTTGATATTTGGATTCAGAAATTCCGATATCAAATACTTTGTCCACAACCTCGCAAAATAGGCGGTGATAGCGATTATGTCTTCATTACGCTCAACTTGCTACGACAAAGTTGGTCCTGCGAATGCATACAGAGTTTTTATTTTGCTCTAATGTTAACTTTTGTTCAACAAATATTTAAGTTTAGAATTTGAGAAAATGTATATTTTCCCCTCATATGCGGTAATTATCATGTAGACAGTTTTACTAACATATTTAATATTTAGTGCTTGAATCAACGAAAAAGTATTCCAGGATGCGAAAAATACTTCCTTGAGGCAATAATGAATGAATGAAAATAAATGATATATCTCCTTTTAGAGACTTACACTATATTTTCCAATCGTTAAATATTACTTATTGATTGATTTGAGCTTTCGGTTCCTATAAAGATAAAATTATAAAAAAGTTTTTTCAATAGACTTCGCTCATATTCAAACAACATCTGGCTACTGAGATGACATAGGTCGTTGAATGCAATACGGCTTTGCATTACGGAGCTAAGTTGTTCACTGAATCTGAATGATTTTGAGTTATGTACATAAGAGTTCCTTTGATACCAATATTATCGTATTGTGTGAACTTATTGCTATTATATCGCGAATTTTAGACTCATCTTCGAACTGGGTAAAAAAAATCTAATAAAGATACTTCGCTCAAGCTGTAGGCAAGTCCGTTGGAGCTGTTTTGCCGTAATTTACGAGTAATGTCATTAGTTCCATTAAATATTCCACTGAATATTAATTCTTCACAAAATCGATATGTGAAAAGAAATATCCTCACAAAAAAGCTTTCTATTTCCGAGTACAGTTAGGTCAATAGGTAAACATCAAAGTGTAATAAACGTTGTGTGCGAAAGTTCAATACGCGTTCGTTGCCTTGAATAACTTCCTTCAACTTTCCATTGCTACTCGAGGCATCAGCTGCTCGTAGTAAACGAATTTCATTATGAATATTACAAGCACACCTGCGGCGCGTTAGAGACGTTGCATGGCACAAAATGTCTGCGAAAATGTTAAAAAATAAAAAAATAAATCAGAAAAATTAATAATAAAACCATAACTGCACTGGGGCAACAGGCTGTCTAGCGTCGTCGTTTTATGCCGATTCAACAAATTCAATTAAAATGGAAAGTGTGCAGCGCGCATGC